GGGCCGAGAGCCCAGCGTTTCTGACGCTCCCCGAGGGCACCTTAGTTCTGGCCGCAGGTTGGGGAGAGAGAGAGAGAGAGAGAGAGAGAGAGAGAGGGAGGGAGGGAGGGAGGGAGGGAGAGAGGGAGGGAGGGAGGGGAGAAGAAAAAGGGAGGGAGGGAGGAAGACATTCTGAGAGAATGGGAAGCAGGGAGAGAGAGAAGAGAGAAGAGGGAGAGAGGGAGAGAGGAAGGAAGGAAGGAAGGAAGGAAGGAAGGAAGGAAGGAAGGAAGGAAGGAAGGAAGGAAGGGAAATGAGAATGGGAGGGAGGGAGGGAGGGAGGGAGGAAGGAAAGGAAGAAAGGAAGAAAGAAAGAAAGAAAAAGAAAGAAGGAAGGAAGGAAGGAAGGGAAATGAGAATGGGAGGAAGGGAGGGAGGAAGGAAAGGAAGAAAGGAAGAAAGGAAGAAAGAAAGAAAGAAAGAAAGAAAGAGAGGCTGCCAGAAATATTAGGAGCACCATTTGTTCTCTGCTTATTATTATTATTATTATTTATTAAATTTATATCCCGCCCTTCTCCTTGCGGACTCAGGGCGGCTTGAAACGCAAATGGGGCTAAGCCAGAATTTATAAACCGACAGAACAGGCTGTCCTTCTCGCTGGCTCGGCCGAGTGGACGTCCGGTTGATCAGAAGGAAGGAGGCTTCTGCAGAGCAACCATTTTTTTCCAAGGGGGGGGGGACCTCTGTTCATCCCTGCAGAGGACACCACCAGCAGCTCCAAGCTGTGACCAAGGTCTCCATCTCCATAGCAGCCTCCGAGAAGCCCTGCCGTCTTTCCAGGCCGTTGTCTCCTTGGCTTCTGGTGATAAACAACAGCTGCCTCCCGGTCTTGCAGAGCTGAAAAACCCAGCCTTGGACGAGCCCTGGGGGAACCGCCCGGTAGACAAGGACCTTGGTGTGAAGGAGGTGGTGTGTGTGTGTGTGTGTGTAAGGATCTTTTTCCTCTCCTCCACGGATGGAGGCCCTGCCTCTCTTTGTGCAACCTGGAGAAGGTCTCCCCAGGACACCCCCTTTCAAATCTAGCGCGACTGAGATGCAAGAATGAAGAGGATGCAATTGGCAAGGTGGGCTGGATATTTTGGGGAGGGGGGAAAGGGGCTGGGTTTGTGTGCGGTGAGCCGGGAGGGAAGTGTCCCCCCCCTCCTAGGATTAAGATCTGTGGCTAGAGCGAGGCAGGGGTTCTGGAGATCAACTGCAGCCAGGCCGTTTTGAATCTTCAGCAAGACATCGTTTTAGGAAGGCTGTTTACAGCAGAGATCTTGCTGACTTCATGGAGGGAAAAGACTCTGCGGGGATCTGGGCAGAGTTTTCACCAAACAGGGTCGGTTTGGAGGGTCAATGGGCAGGAAGGAGGCTTAAAGGAGCAAGAGGACATCGCAGAAAGAACCCAGAAACATTCCCCCATCGCACTAGATTGCGATGGAAATCGAGTCAGGGGGTGGCTTGCGAAGAGAAGGCAGAGAGTGTAACTCAGCGTGAATGCCTTTGCTGTGCTCAACAAAGGTTCTGGGTTCAAGCCTTAAAAAGATCTGGAATTCTGCTGGCCATCTACAAATAGGCTGACTTTGATGGCTAGCAGGTTTCCAAATTATATATATGTATGATTAGACAATCCAATGTTCTCTTGATGTTTAATGGTGAAGAATTTAAGAGCGGCTCGGCCACTCGGAGCAACTAATCTTTGAAAATCAACAAGTCTTGTCTTGGGTGGATAATTATTCGTAGACATGGGGTCCTTTTTCGGACGCCTTCATGGTGTAAAGGGTGCTTGTGATGGGCTTGAGGTTTGTTAAAGCGGTGGAAGGAGGCTTGTGCGTTCGGCACAACGGACTGCAACTGAGTGAAGAAGCAATTGAGTAGAAAAGGAGAAACTACTTACAGTCCCCCACTTACGACCACAGTTAAGGACTGAAACTTCTGTTGTAAAGCAATGTGGTTGTTAAAATTGAGTTGTAACACCGGGTTTTGCAACCTTTTGGCCACGGTTGTGAAGGAACTCACTGCAGTCACTAAGCGAGTTGGGCGGTCCTTAAGCGAATCACGTGAAGTGATGCCGTGATCGCTGCAACCGTCATGTGAGAACTGTTTTAAGTCACTTTTTTCAGGGCCATTTTAACTTCAAGTCAAGGACCACTTGCCTAAGCTCCTGAGCAGACTGGAGAAACCAAGGGCGTCCATTTATGCCAGTGTCATGAGGGCTAGAAACTTTTAAAAAATAAACAAAGTGTATCTTTGCCACAAACTCATTTCCGCCTCCTCCCTCATTTCTGCAGTCATATCTTCGACTCTCTGTCCCCAGGGACAGTGGCTTGCCCTATCCTGTAACGCATTACGTCCTTATATAGCACTGTATAAATAGCAACTGGGTAATTCGAGCATCCCGTGAGATTTCACACATGCCCAGCCTTCTTATTCTAACTTCTCTCTCCCGTTTGTTTTTGGTTTTTTTTGGCTCCAGCGATGGATTTTGAGCGCTTTAAGAAAAGGGGGCTTCAGTCTGTCCAGCAACCCCACCGCATACCCCAGGATGCCCTGAAAATGATCCACCGTGCTTCTGCTGGCTCTTTCGAGCCTCCGAGGGTAATTTTAAGAAACATCAGACTGTCAAAGAGAGACCAGCCAAACTAGAGGAGGCGTCAAGCCGGGAATTAGTCTGGAATCCTTATATGGACACAAGAAGGCAAAGTCTGATCCCTCTCGGATGCTGTTGAGCCTTATCTAATCCGCTCCAGGTGCATACCTCCTGTCTGTGAATCGGGCGTGAGCAATAAAGTCCCGAATTGAACTCTTCATATGTGGAGCCGGTCTGTCGCGCTGGACACGGCCCCTTCTGACTTTGCGAGCAAAATAGGCATGGCCAAAAATGTCGACCAGGAGCCAAGCTTGGTCTCCGAATGCGCAGTCTGCTGGAACGCTTACGATAACATTTTCCGGACCCCGAAACTCCTTCGATGCGGCCATTCCTTCTGCATTGAGTGCCTGGCGCACCTCAGCCTGATCTCCGCCACCCGGAGCCAGCTGCCTTGCCCTCTCTGCCGCTGCCTGACCATGTTGCCGGCTAACCAGCAGGTGACCGAACTGGCCACCGACGTCACCATCTTGCACAAGTTGGGCCTGGAGCCCAACCACATCATCCTGGAAGGACGGCAACTGTGTCTGAAGGAGCAGCGGAAGACCAGGTACTTTCTCCGCCAACCCAAGGTCTACACCCTAGACCTGGGCGTGGACCCCGAACTCGGCACCCAGACTTACCCGGAGAGCCCCCAACCGGTGACCGTAGCCAGCACCCCCACCGTCCCTCGGCGTTCCCTTCTCCGAGAGTGCATCCGGAACCCGCATCTTCGGATCTTCACGTACTTGATGGTCATTATCTTAAGCGTGACTTTGCTACTCGTCTTCTCCGTCTTCTGGACGAAAAACTTTTTCCCAGGTTTGGGATGAGGGAGGAGGAGAGCTTGAAACTTGCTTTTGGTTTTATGGGGGTGGGGGTTTCCCGCAGGGCCTGGGAACGGAGGAAGCTGGGAAGTATTTGGGGAAGGTGGATCAAATCTTTTCCTAAAGTTTCCTAAAGTGAATTTGGGGATTAAGAAGGGAGCAATATGACCACTGTGAGGGTTTTTTGCCTACGTCCAACGCCTTCGCCATAAAGACCAAGTTCTCCTTGACAGAGAACAGACTCCAGAATGTGTGAATGGCGCAGTTCCTACTGTATGCCGTCCAATCCAGAAATCTTAAAAGAGTTTGCCACTACTCTACCTTACCCTGGTTGGAAAAAAAAACCCCAATGATAAAACAAAAACAAACAGATTAAGATCAAGAAGGGGGAGGAGACAACCTGCCTCCTGAAGTTGTAGGTGCTCCAACATTAGGGGTTTTCAAGAAGAGATTGTCTGTAATGGTATTGGGTTTCCTGCCTGAGTAGGGGGTAGGACTAGAAGACCTCCAAGGTCCCTTCCAACTCTTATAATATTCTGTTAACAGTGCTTAACGGAAAGTCAAGTTAAGTTTGTCTTTGCACTTAAGATGCAGCAGCGTTTGTAAATGCAAAAGTGTGCATATGTGTATGCGTGTGAGAGAGAGAGAAATCAGAGAATCAATCATATTAAAGAAACATTTGTGTGTGTGTTTTTTCCCCCCCCCCTTCATCTGCTGGGCTGGTTCGTATCATTTATTTATCAAATGCCGCTCTTCTCGCTGTCCAAATATTACGAAGTTCACCAGGTCCTGTGTACCTAGCAGATGCATCTATCCACCTTTATAAAATTGTTTTGAGCAGAGTTAAGAGGTTTTTTTTTTAATATATATATTTTGCAGTATAGCCTGTTCTGGAAACCTGGCCTGTTTGATGTCTGATTTGAGTGATGTGGGCTAATTCAGCCACCGGGTCAATGCTGCCACTGAGTTAAAACCGATGGGGTGAAATTAAGTTTACTGAGGAGGGTGAGTGTGGCAGGAAGGAATCCATCTTTGGCTCCCAACAGGGAGTTTTTCCTAAAGTTATTTTTCCTGAACTAAGACAGGAAAAAGAAAGATCTGACTGAAAATTATTTAATTAGGAGCTCTAATGTTTTTTTCCCCCAAGCTTTGTAGCCTAAATCCATTGTTCCTGCGTACGAGTGCATAAAGGAAGCAGGGAGCAGCAAGCAGGGAAAAGTCCCATAAAAGTCATTTGAACCCCTTTGATACTTGGTTTCCGTTAGGCACAGAGCAAATAATACTTAAAAAAAAATAATCAGATTGCCTAGGGGCAAAGAGGTAGCCAGGGTTGCAAAAGAGGCTAAATTCAGACAAAAGGATGTTGGCTTAATCTGTTCCTTTGTTATCCCGCTAGTATTTTCTGCAACAGCAAGAGGAAAGTGCTGGAAGAAAAATCTCTATTTTATTTTTTTAAACAACAAAAGAGGTGTTTAAACAACACTGGTGTTTTCAAGGTCTATTTGATGGGCCAAGGGATATTTGCTTCCGGGGCATAACCCAACACTTATATTTGTATTTATGTTTGTGTATTTGGCTCCTGGTTGAAATGTTTGGCCAAGGCTCTGGGTAAACATTTACATTTGTATATTTGCTACCAAGAACAACACAACATTTGCAGTGGGGGGGATAGTAGAGGGGTAGCCTAATTTAGCAGAAAAACCACCTAGGGGGGGTGGAAGTCCCGTGCTGGTAAAAAACATCAGGAACCAATGTTGAGACCCACATTTTGTTTGAGCAATAAAGAGTTTTCAGCCGCTGGTTTGGTTGCGAGGCTGTGGGCCCTTCATAGGGTGGGTGTGTTACTTAAGAGGAGGCTGGACTGAGCCTAGGAAACGCCAGCTGCCGACCTGCCTACATCAGACCCTAAGCAACAGCAACAATAAATAGTAGTTTATACAGATCCAGGATAAGTGACGGCTGCGGTTTGGAATATAAAGAGTGTTTGGTTTGCTTATCGCCAAGGAGAGCCTTGCTGAGCTGTCAAGAGGGAGAGTCAAAGCCAATCAGGGACTGAAACAGCCTTTGCTCAAGAAATGGTGAATAAGAGGAGTGGGAGGACAAATCCCCCTTCTTGGTTTGGCTGTTGAGGGAGTGATTTTCCCTCAGCCCTGACGTCAGGAAGGGAAGCAGGGGATGGAAGTGCAAAAAAGGGAAGGAAAGAGAAAGAGAGGGGAGGAGAGAAGGCTAGGGAAGGAAAGGAGAAGGGAGGGAAGGGAAGAAGAAAGGAAAGGAGAAAGGAGAGGACAGGAAAGGGACAGAAGGAAGGAACTGCCGGTCCTTATGGGTCATCAAACAAGTGGCTGTAAGTTGAGGACTAGAACCAGAACAAGTCGTCAGGCACTGAGTTAAAAAGACAAACTGCAGACAAGGGAACCGGTGGAGGCTTTGAAACAGAAGCAGCCACTTTGCTTTAATACACTTTGTTGTCGTTGTTGTTGTTTTTAAAAAAAGTCTCTGCCCAACAAAGGACCCTATTCCCAAACAGAGGTCCAAAGACCTCCTAATTGAGGGGATCTCCCAGAAATGTGTGTGTGTGTGTCCAGGGATCAGCAAAAGCAGGGGAGCCAACCTTTACCACCCAGGTTGAAAAGTGTGTGGGGCTTTTTTCCCTCCCACAATGGAGAGAATCTGGAGCCCACCGGAGAGAGAAGGAGGAGTATAAAAAAATAGATTCTCAAACGGGCGTTCCCTTGAACGCCACTAGCACAGGAGGAGGAGGAGGAGGAGGAGGAGGAGGAGGAGGAGGAGGAGGAGGAGGATGGTCTGCGGACTCCGCACGCCACCTGTGATCGGATCTCCCCGACCTAAAATAACCCGGGTCACCCCCAGGGACGTGAGAAGGGAAATACCCGGCTTATTCTGCCATCCATAGCTTGAAGGTCCGGTCGTAGGAGCAGGTGGCAATCAGCTGCCCGTCCAAGGAAATGTCCAGACCCATGACTTTGCCCTCGTGTCCGGCCAAGGTCTTCAAGGGGTTCCAGCCAGGGTGGGTCCACACCTTGGCCGTGTTGTCGTAGGCCCCGGTCAGCAAGAAGTTGCCGTGATTCGCTGGAAGGAAAGAAAGAAGGAAGGAAGCACAAAGGAAGGAAGCAGTGTATATTTATCGTGGTTTTTATTATCGCCTGCTCACCGCCCTGAGTCCCGTAAGGGAGATAGGGCGGTATATAAATTCAATAAATAATAATAATAATAAAAAGTGACCCGGAAGGGGTTCGGGAGAGCAACTGATCTTGGAAAACACATTGCAAGCAGCGACAAACAGGAATGGGGAAGAAGGGGAGAGAAGGAGAGGGAGGGAGGGGAAACTTAATGGAGGGAAGGTGGTTCTTATTTTTTTTTAACTTGTATCCCATCATTATATTATTTTTATAAATCTCCAGGTGGAGAACATATTCACAGCTTCCTCCCATTTTTCCCCACCTCCTGTGAGGTGAGGTGGGCTGAGAGAGGGGGACGGGCTCAAAGTCAGCCAGCTGGCTTTCATGCCTAAGACTGGACTAGAACTCCCAGTCTCCTGGTGACTGGCTCAAAGTCACCCAGCCGGTTTCCATGCCTAAAGTGGAACTAGAACTCAGAGTCTCCTGGCGATTGGCCCAAAGTCATCCACTGTTTTCATGCCTAAGGCAGACTAGAATTCTCTGTCTCCCTCGGACTGGCCCAAAGTCACCTAGCTGGCTTTCGTGGCTAAGGTGAAACTGGAACTCACTGCCTCCTGGTGACTGGTCCAAAGTCACCCAGCTGGCTTTTATGTCTGAGGCAGGACTAGGAGTCCCCTCTCCTGGTTTCTAGTCTGAAATGTTAAGCACGGCATGGAAGTGGGTCTCCAGAAGGGATCTGCCCTTCTGCTAGGAGTTTTTTTTTCTTCCAACTTGAAGCTTAACCTACATTTCCAAGTGGTTCCCTCACCAACTCTTAACCAAGTCTGATGTGAGTCTGCGTAGTTTTCCTTCAGATCAGGCAAAATGAGCTGGGCCATGCCTCTAGGGACAAAACTAAGTTGGCTTAGAAGAATAAGGGAAGCTGCTCCATTGCCCTCAAATCTTAGTCCCATCCACCGGGCCCTCAGCAGTTCCCAAAAGTTGATGCTTTGAGTTTTAGAATCCAGATTTTAGGCTCCTGCTGCAGGACCGTGGTGGGGAGACTTACGTTCATATTTCACCCCGGTGATCAGATTCTGATGGGCGGGGATGGTGTAAATGCACCTCCTCTGGCGAAGGTCCCAAACTTTGCAGGTGTTGTCTCCACTGCCGGTAGCGATGTGGTACCTACGAGTGGGGGAGGAGGAGAAAGAGTGAAACGGGGCCTTACACTTAGTAGCAAGAGCAACAGCCCACAGACTTATATACCGCTTCGCAGTGCTTCACAGCCCTCTCTAAGCGGTTTACAGAGTCAGCCTGTTTGCCCCCAACAATCTGGAGTCCTCATTTTACCGACCTCGGAAGGATGGAAGGCTGAGTCGACCTTGAGCCGGTCAGGATCGAACTCCTGGCAGTGGGCAGAGTTTGCCTGCAGTACCGCCTTCTAACCACCGCGCCACCAGGGCTCTTCAAGCAGGCGGAGAGGAAGGAACATATAATCCATGCCAAGATGGCAGCCTGGCTCTTACCCATTAGGGGAAAAGCTGACCCCGTAGATCTCTTTGAGATGTCCTTCCAGGAACATGATGCAGCGGCCGGTGCGCAGGTCCCAGACGCGGCCAAATGCATCGAGGCCGCTGGAACAAACCCAAAATATGTCAGATCAATACAGGGAGTGCGCGACTTAACAACCATTCTGGCCTTAGGAAGCCGCTCAGCTTGGCTTGGGCAGGTCACTGAGTACCCCATTCGGCCAACGAATGCCTTGGCACAGAGGGTGAAGGCTTACCCGGTGCCAGCTAGGGAGCCATCACCGTGGAAGGCGATATCGTAGACCCCTTTGCTGTGCCCCTCCTGGTGAAGGATCTCCTCCTGGGCTTCCAGGTCCCACAAACGCCAGGAGTGGTCGTAGCTACACAGGAGAAATAAGGAAGATTAACTCGGCAGATCTTGCAGAGGTCCAGCAAATATTTCCCCCACGGTATATAAGTAAGTAAATAAGTAAGTAAGTCAGTCAGTCAGTCAGTGAGTCCAGTCAGTCAGTCAGTCAGTCCAGTCCAGTCCAGTCCAGTCCAGTCCAGTCCAGTCCAGTCCAGTCAGTCAGTCAGTCAGTCAGTCAGTCAGTCAGTCAGTCTATCTCTGTCTGTCTGTCTGTCTGTCTGTCTGTCTGTCTATCTATCTATCTATCTCTAGCTAGCTGTCTGTCTATGTCTGTCTGTCTGTCTGTCTACCCACCCACCCACCCATTTAGATCTGAGCCCGGGGGCGCAGAGATTAGAATGCAGCCTTGCAGGCTAACCCTGCCCACAGCCAGGGGTTTGATCCTGACTGGCTCAAGTTTGTCTCGGCCTTCCATCCTTCCGAGGTGGGCAAAATAAGGATCCAAGTTGTTGGGGGCAATAGGCTGGCTCTGTAAACCGCTTAGAGAAGGCTGCAAAGCACTATGAAGCGGTATATAAGTGCTAGTACGATTTAAGGAAGAATTATAGATACCAGCTTTCCTCAACTGGCGCCCTGGGACCACCAATCCCAGAATCCTCAGCCAGCTAGGGAGTGCCCGACAATTTCAATCCTTTCTCCCCCCCCCACCGCCATTTAGCAGAGGTAGAGAGAGACCTTCTTACCACGTGGTGCCCAAAAATCTGCCAGAAGGATGCCAAGTGACCCGGGCCACTCTGACCGTGTGACCTTCTATGTCAGCCACTGGTTCGTCGCTGAAAGAAACCAAGATTGCCCCATTAGAACTAAAATGACACCATAAAGAAAACAGGGAAGGGCAGTGTCACATGCTCAAAGTTCACTGTAGAGGTGGATTTTACTATTTTCTTGCAGACATTTCATAACCCAAGTAGGTAACAGCATCAGTGTGTAGGGGGAAGGGGGAGGAGGACTGTGGGGTCCTTGGTGCTCTCTGAGCTGGGTTGTTTTCTTGCAGACATTTCATGACCCAACTAGGTAACATCATCAGTGCTAGAAGGAAGTAGAGTGTCGAAGGACAAATAAATAAATAAAAATATACGGAGGCTTTATTGGAAATATCAAAGGAGAAAAGTCTGCACAAACCTTTCTAGACTCCAGAGCTTGACAGAGCCGTCGGCTGCGCAGGACGCCAGATTGACATCCTTCTTGTCCAATGAGATGGTTGCCTTGGGATGGAAGACGATGGCGCCAACGTTGGTATTATGCCCTTAGGAGAGGCGAGAAAGCTGCCAGTTCGAATCACGGAACCCCAAGGTTTGTTTGCCCGGTCTGAACCGGGTTGTGTTTGTGGTTATGGGTTGAGGGGAGGGGAGAGACGCCGTACCTCTCAAAGTGAGAACAAGCTTGCAATCTGGCACTGACCATATCTTGCACAGGCCGCTCCTGGGGGACAGAAGAAAAGGAGACCACAAGGAACCTTCACTGCTGTAAATTATTCATGCTCAAATATATAATATAATAAAAATGCAGATGATTAACGGGTGATATCACTTGCAGGTTTAGGCCGATGCTATAAACGTCAGGATTTAAACTGGGTGCCCCCTTCAACCATTCTTTGCCGCCCCCCCTGCCCAAGGTGACCCCAAAAAGACAACGAACCCTTCTTACCAACAGGCCGTGGCCAAGAATTTGGAGTTGGAACTGAAGTGACAAAAGGAAATCGGACGGTCATCCCCAATTTGGCTGCAGAAGTTATTCAGAGACTGGAAACGAAACCATACCGTAAGAATTAAGCTGCCAGTTCTTTTAAAAGAATTATTAATATAGATTGCTAGCCCGTGTATATGTTGTGCCGTATGCTAAATAATAAATAATAAATCTTTTCAAAGGATTTAAGAGGAGAGAGAGAGAGAGAGGGTGGAAAAAGAAAAGCCAGAAAGAGTAGGAAAAAAAGAACATTCCTTCCCAAATGCTTCACGTTACATCCTCAAAACCATTTACCGAAGGACTTGGAAGGGATAAAGTTTTACTTTTACATAAGTGGTCCTTGATTTACAACCACCACAGAGCCCAACATTTCTGTTGCTAAGTGAGGCGTTTCTGATGTGAGTTTTGCTCAACGGGGCTAGTAAATGTGTTTCTTTTCCCATCCCAAAAAAGGCCGCTGATTAAATACGCAACATTTAGTATGCAAAGCAGACCTAGTGAAGCAAAGCTTCTATCTTTTTGGGGGGGAGGGGACTCATTTCAAGCTACCCACCCTCAAAGATTTGTGAAGCTCTTGTTTCTGGGATGTCCGTGTGGCTTCGGGCACCTCCTTAAACAAACGGGCTTCGTCCAGCCGCTTCACTGCTCTGCGCAAAGAGAAAGAGAAATGTGTTACACGTAAAAGAGAATATTTGTAGCTCAGGGCTGAACTTACTAGGGGTCCTTTGTGCTCTACGAGCTGTGTGGGGGGGGAGGAGGAGGGGGAGGAGGAGGACGACGACGACGACAACTGTGGGGTCCTTGTTGCTTTCTGAGTTGAATTGTTTTCTTGCAGACGTTTCATTACCTAGCTAGGTAACACCATCAGTGTTAGAAGGGAGTGGAGTTTGCTCTCTCCCTTTGACTAATAGTCTTACCGTGGAAGAGAGTAATTTGCAATCCAGAGTCTGGCTGTCTTCAAGGTGGTTGGCCCTTCATGGTACCAAGTCTGCTGATACTAAGAAAGACAAATTGCAAAGACACATTACCCACACTTTTTTGCAGAAGTGTGCGCAATATATTTTCCAGAGAGGATTCTTAGGTATTTCCACCCTCAGTGGAAAATCACGAGACATTCATTTCCACGGCCGACTTTAATTTGGCCTCTAGCTCAGCTAATTTATATGCACAGATCAAAATTCTCGTTTCAAAGGGATTGTTCTTTTATATAAGCATTTGGCATAACGGAAGGGCAGCACAAGAGGAGACAAAGAACACAAAAAATGGATTTCAACGTTTCGCCCTAAGTGAGAATAAGAGCAGCCATATAACATACTCACCTCCTCTTTGGACTTCTTGGATTTTTCATCATCCTTCTTGGTTTTTTTCAAGGCATCCGGACCAACCACCGAGAGAATGTTACGCAGTCTGACAAGAAGGAAAGGCCGAACGTGTAAAATGCTCTTTTATTTACGAAAGGAGGGTCAGTTCAATTTGAATATCGACCCTCACCTCTCCCTCCTTTCGGCTGGCCCTTCTCCAAACAGCGTTATGGGTTCTCCGAGCGCCCGTAAGCAGGCCTTGACCTCGGAGTCGTCTGTGGAAACGTTGATTTGCCTCGCCCGTTTCCGGCGCTCAAATTCGGCCAGGACTTCGGCTTGACGCTCGCTGATGTGGTCTTCCAGGTCAAAAACTTCGCCTAGCCCATAGGAGAAATGTAGTATAGGTCAGATCTGCCAGGCACAGTTTGTGTCTTTAGTTATTTATATGGTCAACATCAGATTTATGCATATACTCAATTATACATTTCTTATAATAAATCCAAAGGAGAGAGAGAAAAAAACCCCAAACTTTGTTGCTTTCCTGGGCACTGGGCATCTTCTTACCGGTGGAGATGTTGATATTGCCCGCCTCAATGGCTGCTTTGACGGCTTCTTTGCCCATCATCCCCGACTCGCCCTTCAGAATCCGCTCGCGCTCTTTCTCCTCCAGGCTCCCATAGAAAATGGGGCCCTTCTTAGCAGGAGGGGCGTCTCCATCGTTGGAAGCCTTCATTTTTGTCCCCTGCAAAGAAAACCAAGGTGTTCACGATCCAGAACGGGCACGGAGCAAATCCAAAGAGGGTGATGGGAATTTTAGTCCAACATTCCAGCATCTTGATGGCAGACTCCATGTTCCCCCCTTGCTCTCTGCTCTCCACCCATCCAACTTTTTAAGTCTTTATTATCATTTGTATTATTTATTCTTTTTAGTATTTATTCTTGGTGTGTGTGTGTGTGTGTTTTAAAAACACCTGGATTTGACCAGCCCCATGCGATATGGACAGCACTGCACCGAATTCACACTGGCCATGATAGATGCACAAACACCCTCTACAAACCATCACAAAATACCATACACACACACACATATATATAGACACACACACACACATTTATTATATATATAATAAAAACGTTATTATTAAAAAATTCTTAGCAGCCTCCTGCTTGTCATGATCCACGAGGGTGGCTGGGGATAAGAGTAGGGGGGGGTGTATTCACCCCGCCATTGGAAACACGCCTTTATCCAGCCTGGGCCCGAATGGCCCTGGCTGTGGTCAATGGGCATTGTAGTCCAACGTTTGAAAAGCACCGGCTGGAGCGAAGGGGAGAGTATTTGTTTTATTTTTATTTTTTATTATTTATTCCCAAACAGACCCAGCCAGCCCAGCCCAGCCCAGCCCAGCCCAGCCATCCCCGGCTTTGACCCACCGCGGAGACCCGCAACGAAGCCATAGCGCCCCTGGCAGCCATTCCGGCCGGATGGGAAGCTTCCTACGAGCACTTCCGGAGCGATGACCTTTGGCTCCGCCTCTCTCTCTCCCAACCGGCCAATGGGCTCTAAGGCGACGGCGGGCCTCTGTGACACGCTTCCGGCAGGCGGGGGCTGCGGAGGGAGCGTCGCGCATGCGCACTCGGGAAGAATACGGAGGATGCTGCGGAGGAAGCCGACCCGGCTGGAGCTGAAGCTGGACGACATCGAGGAGTTCGAGGGGGTGCGCAAGGAGCTGGAGGCAGGCGTGTGTGTTGTGTGTTGTGTGTTGTGTGTGTGTGCACCCTCTGGGGAGTCCCCATTGACAACTGAGCCCGGGAGCACTCTGCCCATGCTCAGAGGCGCTCTCTCCCGTGGGAAATTAATGCTTTTAAGTGGTTCCAAGGAAGTGGGGGGAAAAACAACAAGGTGGCTTTGCTTTATATAGGGGAACGCCCGCGCGGAGGGTCTAGAAATATTCTGCACATGCTCAGAGGCAAGCCATTCCCCAAGCATCTACAGTTTTTAGCGTTCCAGATTAAAATCTTTTCTCGAGGTATACACGGCCCTTAATTTAAATGAACTAAAAAAGAATCCAGCCTGATCCTAAGGATGCTAAATCTCAAGCCCTAAACCTGATTCTCAAGGATTAAGGGGGCTGTTTTTAGTTTATTTAAATTAAGGGCAATATCTATCTATCTATCTATCTATCTATCTATCTATCTATCTATCTATCTATCTATCTATCTATCTAAATCTATTTATCTCTATATCTATCTATCTCTATATCTATCTATCTATCTCTATCTATCTCTATCTCTATCTATCTCTATCTATCTCTATCTATTTATCTATCTCTATCTATCTATCTCTATCATCTATCTATCTATCTATCATTCATCTTTCCTATCTTCCTGTCTATCAAGATAATAAAGCATATTGTTATTAGTCTACCGAGCCACATTTTTGCTACACCTTGAATATATTTCTTGAATCAGAAATAAAATGATAAAAACACGCCATTTTGTAATGATGAAGAAAATACCACTTTATAACAATGAACCAAAGAGATTTACGCTTCTAACTTCGGAATATTATACAAAATAGTCAACGTGTGTCCTTTGCATCCATAAGGATGTGTTGTACTTTAAATAATAGCCCATATTTTATATATTTACAGTTTTATTTTTGAATAAGCCATGCAGGAACTGAAATGAACCCCATTTCGTCCTGTGTGCCGAAGCGAAAGTGGGATAGAAAGAGTTCTTTTTGTAAACCTAATTCTTGCCCAATAATGTAGAAACGGACTTTTGGGTAGTCTTAAATGTTAACATTTAAAAGCAAAGGTTGAATAGCTACTGGCCTTGATGACTGAATATATGTTGGGCCTGTTCTGATCCTATAAATATATATTTCTGATCCCCCCCCCTTTTCTGGGCTGTTTCCAAAGCATTGGATTATTTAGTGAATTTAAATGTATTACATAAAGAGTTGCAGTTGTGTTTCCTGAAGTATCTGCACCATGTTTTTTTGTAGATGCAGAAAAAGCAACGGGAAGAGGTCGACATGGTGGGAACCAATGACGGCGAAGGGGCCCTGGCCTTGAACCCCGATCACAAGAACTGGGAGCAGGTGATTCACGATCGGATCGGCTACAAACCTCAGCCCAAACCCAGCAACCGTTCATCACAGTTTGGAAACTTTGAATTCTAGAATGCCGGGATGGATCTTAATTTCAAGTGAAGCATGCTTAGGAGAGATTAGGAGAAGCTGATTTACAATGAGGGCAGATGGAACCCATAAGGATTTTATCCTTCTGGAAGATAAAAGACTTTTCTGTTCTCTAAAGAATGAGGTTGGGTGCTTTTTCCCCCCCACTTGAAGACTGCCTTCAGACAACCTGTTGCCCTGGATATCTTTACCAACCTCCCATTTTGCAACCAGAGGCCTTACAGCAACACTGACAGAACTGCTGTGGCATAACCTCTGTGTGCAAATATTTCCAGACGTGACTATTGGGGAAATGTTGCATGGTGTAGCCGTCCTCAATGCGAGGGAAGGGTTTATTTCTCGTATTGAGGAGGTGGGGGCAGACCCACCTCCCTCCAATCATTTTAACAAGGATGAACTCGCAGGCTCGCCTTTTCCTAGAAGTGGTTTTGCTGTCGACGTTACCTTATTTTCCTCCTCACGCATTTTACCCCTTGTAACATTGAACATATTAAATTTCGACTTATGGTTGAGATAACAGTATTGGGGCGTGTTATGTGTGGGGCTGTGTTTGTGCAACTCTGTTGCTTTGGTTTGAAAATGGATACAGGTATGAGAGAAGGGTATTGTCGTGGGGGGGGGAGGAGAAAAAGTCAAAAACTAGCTGATGGGTTGAATCTCTTTATTCTACTGAACCACGTAGGGTAGACATGTAAACATATCCCACGTCCATCATTTTTGATTAAGACACTCTATACTTTAGAAGTTACAACAGCGTAAATCATTAGTATTCACGTAATGGTAGCCGATGCATACACTTCCATCAGCTTTGGATTTAAAATAAGACATCCTACACAGTACACTACACGGCCCGATGAAGCAATACGGCTAAGGCACATTTTTTTCCCCATGAATATACTATGAACGAGGAGGGAGACTAGAGCAACATAGCTATGGAAAAAACAATACTGTGAATCCTGGTCAGCTGTAAATGAGACAAGATTTTCCGTCAACAAACATAAGGGAAAGACGCCCACAGGTGATATGGAATTTTTGTTTTCCCACCTTCCCGTTAACGTACACAGAAAATATCCAATTGCTAAAGCTGGCACTCTGACATGGTTCATATAATATTAGCCAAGGAGCCACTCCGTTCTGTGGGTTTACACAGGATGGATAGAAGCAAGCAGACGGACGTGAGACGCTAAGTTACAGAGGAAGTTAGCCATGGTACTTGAAGCCCCACAAAATTAGCCAAAGATGTCACGGGACCCAACTCAACTTCATGGCTGAGATGAATTGTATCATAAATCCAGTCTTTGTGCCTTTTTAAAGAGAGGCTAAAAACCTGATTGTACGGTTGTGGGGGAGGAGAAGGCTGATTCAGCTACTGCTTTACTATTCGGCACATGCTGTTTGGCTAAATGCCATCCTTTTGTTTCGTGCTCTGCGTGCAGAGATTGTAGCAGAGCCAACCAGCCTGGAGGAAGGCTTGTGCAATTTTGCTGTGTTGCCAATGTACAATCAGGTGACACCATGCTGCAGATTCCCTGTGGTTGCAGTTCTCCAGCTTGTGTGTACTTTTCTCTCTCGGGCAGATGGTTAAAAAAAAAAAACACCCCAAAAAGTTTGATTTCTCAGCATGAATGTTAATCCAGATTCCACTCTCTTCCTTCCATGGAAGGAATTAAAAGTCAAAGCAAGAATCTCTGCTCCTCCAGGTAATGCTGAACTACACACCCCAGCGACCTCAGACCCGCCTCTACTTCCTTACAAGGGGAGAATGATATCATCCCACAAGGTGAATTCTTACAGGACAAATTTTGCGGGCATTGTGGGTCTCCCAGTGGCCATCCAGTTGTGCCTAAAATACTCCCAGGCATGATTCAAAAGTAAAATTTTTCCCCTCTGCTGCTGTTTGCCATTCAGAAAACGGCCATCAAGACCAGCAGCCCTTGAGCCTCGTCCTCCGATGCACTTCAAACCAATTTTTTTTAAAAAAAAAATAATAATACTAAAGGTATCTCTGCTTGAAGACCTGTTTGAGCTTGAAATCTAACAGGACTCGCCGATTGTGTTCACATGATAAGATTGTACAACAAACTACCCAACTCCATTTTAGGCTAGTTTGCATGACAAGTACGTGGCACCGCTTTGGGTGAACCTGGCAAGCTGTGTTAATTGAACAAACCATGGTTAAATTAATCTAAGACAGCATACTGAAACAACCAATTGGATAAAACATGGTGAAGCTACGGTAGTCTAAACCGGCATGCGGCTGAAACAACCTATGTTAATTGACAATGCTACATTAAATGATTGACAGGCGACTGGTGTATTGTTTCTACTTTTAAATTTGTGTCTGATGTCAGCGACAGGCTAAACTGAAGGTTGATTATCACGGTTGGTACAAGAAGACAACAAAGGTAATTTTCTACATGGACTGCTGAAAGGATGGTTGCTGGTTTTTCTGAGTTTCAACCTTGCCCAGAATTAGGGGCTCAAGAAACAATTGATTCTATTAAAAAATCAACCATTTCACCTAATCTAGGAAGTAAATTTTTTGCAGGACATCCTCAACAGCTTGAAAATGTGAGTTGGGATGTCTAACAACCACATCCATGGGTGTATGTGTGTGTGTGAGAGAGAGACCAATAAACAACCAGCATTTATGCAGGATGAAAAAAGAATAGTAAAAGGAAATCCACCACCTAGAAGCAGGAGAGATGGCTCACACTCTGCCTAAAACCTGTATCCCAGCTTTGTCTGAAGCCACTGGGGTCTTAAGAAGGACATGACAATCAGGTTTAATGTTTAAGAGAGAAAAAAAGATGTCGGCCTGAAAATTAGACCAAAAAACCGCCCTTAAAACCCTTGTACTGCAGGTTTATTTAAAATGTATATATATATATATTTAAAAAAATCATACTTGTTCCCCCATTATTTTTCCACCAGCACGTCACGGTTAGAAATGGGTACTGTAATGGGCAAAGGGTTCCTTTCCACCCCAGAGCAGCTACAGAAGAAGACGAAGAGGCCCTAAAAACCTTCCTGGGTCAAAGACAGTGGCTTCCCAGAACCAAATCCACACAACGGTTTGGCAGCTGTGAAACGCAGTTGGCAAAAGCGGAGCTGACATCTCAAGGAAAGAGGGACGGGCAGCGTTGGCACGTGCTCGATTGCCGATCACACATACTGGCCTCGGAGAGATTGTGGTGGTGGGTGCCTACTTCTCTTGAAGGAAGACCCCCCCTCTTGTGGTCCTTGCCCTCTCCTTAGAAACAGAGGCTGCTGAAGCACAAATAAAAGAACATGGAATGGCCTGGTTCAGCTCCTGCCAGCTTTCTTTGAATCATTGCACGGACTAAAAAAAAAAACCTGATCAAGTACGCAATGTGTCATCCATCAACCATGCTGAGTAGGTTGCCTTAGCCGGCCGCCGACTCTTTTACCTGTGGCTCAGAAGTCTCCCCGCCCCCAAGGATTTGGGGGAAGAGGGGAAACGTGGGGAGAGAGGAGAAGAGGCACAAGAGTGGCCCTCTGGAAACCGGAGGGCGTCCCACGGCTGCTTTTCTTGGCATGTTTCTGGTAAACCTGGTCCTTCGGAAGGCTGAAGGGGTAGCGGAGGTCACCGTTAGTGGCAATGCTCGGTGATGTCCACCACTACGGCCTTTTTCCAGCTGAAGAAGAAGTAGCCCGCCCCGGCGCCGCCCGCCACCGCGATGCAGAGGTAAGCGTTGTAGGTCATGAAGATGAGCATCAGGAAGTAGCTGACCACGACCTGGATGATGTGGAGGATGGTCTGGAAGATGTGAGGGACGCTCAGCATCTGCTGGCTAGCCGAACGGGAAAAAAAATGAAACGTAGATCAGGCGCTTTTATTTATTTCCCATCTTTATTGTTTTTTTTAATAAGTGACTCAAGGCAGTGGATGGACCTCGTGCTCCTTCCTCCTCCTATTTGCTTCACAACAACCCTGAGAGGGAGGAACTAGCCCAAAGTCCCCCAGCCAGATTTGATGGCTAAGGCGGGACTAGAACTCCCAGTCTCCTGGGGATTGGCCCAATCACCCAGCCAGCTTTGATGGCTAAGGTGGGACTAGAACTCCTAGTCTCCTGGTGATTGGCCCAAAGTCCCCCAGCCAGCTTTGATGGCTAAGGCGGGACTAGCGCTCCCAGGCTCCTGGTGATTGGCCCAATCACCCAGCCAGCTTTGATGGCTAAGGCAGGACTAGAACTCCCAATCTCCTGGTGATTGGCCCAAAGTCACCCAGCCAACTTTGATGGCTAAAGCGGGACTAGAACTCCCAGTTTCCTGGTGATTGGCCCAAAGTCCCCCAGCCAGCTTTGATGGCTAAGGCGGGACTAGAACTCCCAGTCTCCTGGTGATTGGCCCAAAGTCACCCAGCCGCCTTCCATGCCTATGGTGGGATTAGCACTCTCCCATCTGTCAGTGATTGGTCCTAAGTCAGTCCTCTGGCTTTTATGCCTAAGGCGGGACTAGAATTCCCAGTCTCCTGGTTTCTAGCCTGTTGCCAGCGGCATGCAAGAATAATACAGCCCCAGCTTTTTTGCTGAAACAGCAGAGGAGGGATTTGGAAGCTTAAAAGGGATCAAAAGAAAACTTTTACAAACGCCCAGTGTGGACACTTAGTTTAGACCCAGAACGGCTTCCCGGCGGCTCCCTCGAAAACGCAGCTCTTGCGTTCTCACGAGCGTCTGGCTTAGCTACGTCTCCAGCTCCCTCCCTTGTGCTACGTCTCGCAGCCGAACAGCCACGTGTGTGCTCACCCAACCGTTTTGTGCGTCTCCATCAGGACGGTCCCGTTGGGCCCCGGGAGAGGCATGGAGTTGTAACGGATGCTGACTTGCGACTTCCGCAGGAGACTCTCCCGGCCGATCTTCAAGCCCTCGTAGAACATGGCCAGGAAGAAAATAGCCACGAACGCACCGGCCATTTCTGCGGGCAAGAGATGGAATTTATTAGACGTTTATTATCTCGAGAGCAACTTGCCTGGCACCATCCGGAACTGTTGGGAATATATTTCAGGAGACTTCCAGTGCATGGGGATTAAGAGGGGCACTGTTGGAGATCCCAAGATTGCTGGAAAATTTAAACAAGAGGTAGACTAGACCAGGGGTCTCCAACCCCCGGTCCGTGGACCGGTATCAGGCTGTGGCATGCCAGCAACCGGTCCGCACAAACAAGCAAAGCCCCATCTGTGGGATGAAGGCAGCACACAAAACCACACACCCTCCGGTCCGTGGAAAAACCTCTCTCCACAGAACCAGTCCCTGGTGCCCAAAAAGTTGGGGGCCTCTGGACTAGACCATGCCATGTAGGTTAGGAATCTCAACAAAATAAGAGAGAGTTGAAAGGGACCTCGGAGGTCTTCTAGTCCAGCCCTCTGCATAAGCAGGAGACCCTTTATCATTTCAGACCAATGGCTGTCCAGTCTCTTCTTGAAAACCTCCAGTGTTAAGAGCACCCACAGCTTCTGTTCCACCAATTAATTGTCAGGAAGTTTCTACTTAATTCCAGATTGCAAATTTCCCCCCCATTTTCCTGGATTTTTTTTTTCTTCCAGGCCTGCTGCCCCCCCCTCACTCACCTCCGGGCGTATTGATGACAAGCCCAGAAAACAGCAAGGGAACATTTTGATAGCTGAAGTGGAAGGTCATATCCTGTCCAGAGAGAAAAGGAGTCCGTGTAAAACAGCATTTTTGTCTACTATCGTCATCATCATCATTATGAACTCCACTTACCATCATTCCTCCATGCATGTGTCCAGGGCTACTCGTGGGGTGATGGTGGGCGTGAGGATCCATGGTGGGGCTGGCTGAGCCACTCATGTTGTGGCCCATGTGGTCCATATGGGCGTGATGCTCAGCATGGTCCATCTGAGTTCTCGAGGGACAGGGTAAAGCCTGGAAAATCCATTTGCTGATGTTAGACAAACATAATCATTCATGCACTGATGATGCTACCTGGTATGGCAATGAAACGCCCGTAAGAAAGCAGCCCGCCCGTTCCTTCTCCTCCATTCCACACACCCCATTCCCTTCTAGTGCTGCTGATGTTACCTAGTTTGGTAATGAAACGTCTGCAAGAAAGCAACCAAGTTCAGAGAACACCAAGGACCCCACAGTCCTCCTCCTCCTCTTGTCCACACACCTCACGCCCTTCTAGCACTGATGATGTTACCTGGCCTGGTAATGAAACGTCTCTAAGACAGCCACCAAACTCAAAGATCTCACATTTCAATCCCAAGCTACAGTACAGATATTCTCCTCCAAAACAGCGAGCCGCTCCTGACCTAGCTTGGATCAAAATGGTTTGAAGACTCGAGGATCTGTTTCAAAAATCAATTTTCTACCGAGAAGCCGCAGATAGCCCCAGAGGAAGTTGATAAAATGAAAGCAGACTGCCCCGGGCCTCAACTGTGCTCCAGCTCTGTTTGAAATTGAATTAACTCGAAAGCCAAACCCCGTGAAAAGCCACTGTCATCCTTGATAGTGCCTAATTTTATTGGAAACCGATCTCGTCAATCACATTAGGACAAAACTGGTTGTATACAGCGAAAAGGTCTCCGGGCGCCCCCAGCAATGGATGTCTGCCTTCTCAGAACAGCGCCGTTCTCCTTGGCCTCTAAATGCATTAAGCTGGAGGTGATAAGCAGACAGAAGGACAGAAATCTAATTAATTTAATCCCATCACGGGCGATTGCCGGCCTCAAACTGGAGAAAGAAAAAAACACGAGCAATTTGTAAGGTTGAGCTGATGGCAGGGGATGGAGGGAGCAGGTAGCTGAGCAGAACTTGGACAATTTTGCCAACTGTTGCTTCAAGCTAGGGGGACCTTCATCTATTCTTTTCTCTTTCTTTCTTTCTTTCTTTCTTTCTTTTCCTTCCTTCCTTCCTTCTTTCCTTCCTTTCCTTCCCTCCCTCCCTCATCTCTAATGGTTAAGTGGAGACTATCAGCAGATCCTTCATTTATAGCTTCTCGGACTTTGATATTTGGAAAACTGGAAAGGATTCAAAAGACAGGGTGACCTGATGTTTTATCGCTGATGACAGATTGCAACTCCACCTTAGTTGCAGACAGGTAGAGAGAACCCCGGCATAACCACCTCCATAAAGTTAGAAAGATTAAGGAGAATCCTGTCCTTTCCATCACGTAGCATTCTTGCCTTCAAGATCTTTCGGTCTAACCACATAGCAAGTACGCGTATCTCTGCTATTTTGTCAGATTTTATTAATTGGTTCACGTAATGGAACAGATTTTTCTGGTTCTTAGCAATTACCATTTTGGCAGCTGATAACACGTTAGGTGTCATTAATGGATGTCTGCAGGGCTGAGAGGGAAACATTCTAAAATTGCTTTTGATTAAAACGAAATCTTAAGCTGATCTTCTAGATAAATCTCTCTTCTGGGGATTTTGAGCCCTTAGACATGACGGTCATATCTGCAGCCTACTTCTTAAAACTTGCCTTTACTAAAAAAAAATATATATTGCTTTCAAAATGAAATGCCATTTGTGACTCGGTGATCCCTCCTCTACAGATATTCCTTGACTTACCATGATTTGTTTAGCAAACAAATTTGTTTAGCCTTTTTTGAAACAGCCTCTATAAAATCAACATCCAGTGCTGAGATTTATTAACAAATCTCTGAAAATGATTTGTTTCCTGTCCCCCACCCCTCCAATTCAGGGAGTCTGCTTCCATTTTTTAGTATCTGTAGAAACCAGTCCCAATAGGAGTTAACCCAGCTGCATTCTTTTAAAGTATTTTAAAAAATAAATCTTATTTTGTATGCATTCATAGAAAACGAAAAAGAACATATTTTGAGTCCTATCTCCAGTGATCAGGCTATGCTCTTTCCTCGTGGGAAAAGGAAGCAGAAAAACATATAATCATAGACATGGGGAGGGTTTTTTTGCTTATTTTATTCAGGATATGTACGTTGCTTTCTTTCCTGTACAGCCAAACTGTCTAGAAACTTAAAGGGAGCTTCAAACGCATGGCACACCAACAAAGCAAAAAAATCTGACTGGATATGCAGAAAAATTGGGGCAAGTTGAACAAGCTCCCTGGATCGCGGCCAATTTCCTGATAAAAAGGACAAGAAATGGAACACCTGGGCACAACTTCCCACGGTGAAGCCGGCCTTAGAAACCTTGTTAGTCCAAAGCAGCCACGTAAGGAGATTATCACTTGAGAAAGCGCCAAATGCGCCTGTTCAGATGATTTTTATCCTCCTTGTTGTATCTGCAAATGCCAATACAATAGGCGGGTTTCGTCTTTCGGACGGGAATTGTGAACACAAAGAACGGAATAGTAGCCGAACTTAATTATGACCGCTGACACTTTCTTTGCGAAGAATAAAGTGACTGTTCTTTTAAGGGCCTCTAGCATTTCCATTGTAGCTGGAGTCCTGTTTGAAAGAAAAGTCTGCCAAAACATCTCCGGAAGGCCAGTCCTAAGAGCAGATAAAATGAGGGTCCTTTGGTGCTGCATCATATATTGTAATTCTACGTGACTAAGAGAAGATCAGTGAAATGCAGGGAACTCCTAGAAGTATTGTGATTGTGGCTTCTGACAAGCAAAGTCAATGGGGGAGGCTGGATTCATTGAAGGAGTGCAGTGATCTGCTTAACAATTGTGGCAAAATAAGAATAACCTCGGGCGGGCGCCCTTAACGCCTTGCTTAGCAATGGGCATCGTGATCCCAGTTTGTCGTCGTAAGCCGAGGAATTATGTGCACTGGCTACTGGAAGAGACTGCCCCAGTTTGTAACTTAACTAACGCACACGCTGGGGGCTTTGATCTCTTTGTTCCTTTGGATTTATCTCGCTTCTCCCCTGGGTTTGGCCTGACTGCGTGTCTGCTTGGTTTTTGTGTTATTTTGCCCCTTTTCTCTCCAAAAATGGAATATACGCGTGACTTTTTATACCTATATAGCCGCTCCCCAAAAATGAAATATACGCTTGACTTTTTATGCCTATATTTCGTTTGGGGAGTGTCCAGAAACCTCCTGCATTCCGAAGTTATCAGTGTGAGATAACAGCTGGGTGATGTAAAGAGGGCAATAGATAAATTTCGATAACAAAGGGCAATAGATAAATCTTGATAACAAAAGTAACTGCGACAATTATAGCCGTGAGTGCTTTTGTGGAGAGTACACACCCCTGTCTATCGCACGGGGTCTTGCCATCCAGCCACATGAGTGTGAAAGAGTATTCTTTCAACCGGGGTGCACAACTGCATGTCTTTCCTAACAGCTTCTGACCTTCCTTTTTCAACACACCTCCCTCCCCCAAATGGGACGACCTAGGAAAGAAATGAGAATATTCAGCGGTCGTCCAATAGGTGATACAGGTTCTCGGATTACAACAGTTCGTTTAGTGACCGTCCAAAATTACGAGGGCGCTGAAAAAAGTGGTTTATGTCGGCTTTTCACCCTTATGACCATCGTGGCATCCCCAGGGCCACGTGATCCAAGTTCAGACACTCGGCCACCGGGTCATCGTTGTGACGGTTGCCATGTCCCGGATTTCCGGGATCCTCTTTTGTAAGCTTCTGACAAGCAACGTCAACGCGGACTGTGGCAAGAAAAGTCGTAAAACGAGGCAAAACTCACATAACTGTCTCACTTAGCAACAAAAATTTTGGGCTCAACTGTAACTTTTGGGAAGCTCTAGGTTGCACATAAGATAGATAGATTAGATTAAATTAGATTAGATTAGATTAGATTTGATAGATGATAGATAGATAGATAGATAGATAGATAGATAGATAGATAGATAGATAGATAGATAGATAGATAGATAGATAGATAGATAGATAGACAGACAGACAGACAGAAAGACAGGGTAGATAGACAGACAGACTGACTAGATAGATGGATGGATGGATAGACAGATAGATAGATGATAGATGGATAGATAGATAGATAGATAGATAGATAGATAGATAGATAGATAGATAGACAGACAGAGACAGACAGACAGACAGACAGACAGACAGGATAGATAGACAGACAGACTAGATAGATGGATGGATGGATAGACAGATAGTTAGATGATAGATAGATAGATAGATAGATAGATAGATAGATAGATAGATAGATAGATAGATAGATAGATAAAGATAGACAGATTAGATAGACAGACTAGATGGATGGATAGATAGATGATAAAGAGATAGATAGACAAACTAGATAGATAGATAGATAGATAGATAGATAGATAGATAGATAGATAGATAGACTAGATAGACAGACTAGTTAGATTAGATAGAGAAACTAGATAGATAGATAGATAGACAGATAGATAGATAGATCAACCAGCTGTTTGCAGAGGAAAAAATAAGGAGCATCTCCCTTGTAGAAGAAAGGGTAAGACAAAGATTCTCGAGGTCAACGGTTCACTCAGATGCCTTGCTGGCTGGGAAGGATGGCCCTGTCACCCCAAACACCTGGAGGGCAACCCAGAGCCAGCCAGTTGCCTCACACACTTCCTCCCTGCTGTTCCAACCTGTCCTCCCCACGGGGGGGTGGGGTGAAAATCCTCTCCCGCCCTTGCTGCAATGTTCTGCTAGATCAAAGCTTTGACTGTCAGGCTTCCAAGTCTGCCAGCCTCCGTTATGTACACCCAGAAGAAATGATTAACAGAGAAATTGCACTGATTTTGCACTCTACTTCGATGCCATCGTGGAGCAACCAGGCTTTCGGGAATAACTTGGCAATGCTCCGCAGAGAGGCTGTGGAACATCCCCCAAACCGTCAAAAAACGAGGACCTTCATCGCCAGAATGACCTGTTTTTATCCTATCCCCAAATCCTGCTTGGGAAAAATTATTGCCCAGGATAAAAAACAGCCGGTCCAGACAGCTCTGCAGCCCCAACCACGATTCTCTTCTGAAATAACCCCGGCATTATTCTAGCTGCTTGTTCGGTAAAGCCACTTGAGCTGTCTGTCACAAGATGACCTTGATCACCGAGCTGAGGTCATCTGAAATGTGTCCAGGAGTTATCTGGGGACGGAAGGCTCATCTCTCTCTTTGTAATTGATGAGCCTTCTCTGCCAGCACTTTATGGCCTGTGATTCAAGGAGCCCATCCCGACAATCTATTAAAATCCCCCCCCCCGACACCCACACACCCAATCTTATTGCCACGTTGCAAAACTACCCAGCACATGACAGCTGAAAAAGCTTCCTTTTAATGCTACTTTGGAAAGCCCATACAAATGCTTAAATACAGTTTATTTCGGCTAATGCAGTAAAGTCAGGTCTTCTTCTGCCTTCAATAATACAGCCCTGGCTTTTAAAAAACAAACATATGGATCATCCAGGAGAATCCCACTTTTTTTGGGGGGGGGGAATGCCCTATGTTTAAATTCTAGCTTATTTCCTTGATAATCTTATGTTTAGGCTCTTTTTCCATTCTATTCCCTTACTTAGAATCTTTTTGCTCTATAACCATTTATCCTAGAGACCCATTTATCCAGAGTCTCTCGACCCTGGATAAATAAGTCTCACACCCTTATTAAGAGGTGCTGAGTTCAATTCCCAGAAGTCCTCAGCCAACATGAGGAATACTAGGAGCTGGAGTCTGCAGAGTTCTGCTAAAACTTAGCAGAAAAGTCTTTCCTTCAGGAACCTGACAGCATAGAGAGCAGTACATTTTACATTTTTATTTACCTTTAGATTGAGGAAGAAAAGCACGGGGCTTCCAGCAACCCAGCAGATCAGTTGCAAATAGATAAAAACTTTCTTCCTGCTTCCTGCTCGGGGCAATTCCAGTAACACCTACTCAGCGTTTGCTCCAACTCGTCGCCACAAAATACTGGTGTTTGCTCACTGCCCATCAGGAAAAGGAAGGGGGAGAGGAAAAAAAATAGATGATTTACTCAACTCAAAAATGCCACTTTGAAAGCTCTTGAAACAAGAGAGGGCTGCAATGGAAAAGGAGGAGGGAGGGCGCTCTGTGGATTTCAGCTTTGTGCTATTGTGTGTCTGGTAAACACACAGCCTAAGATCAGATAGATCTGGGTGGGTCAACAACCTGGGAATGCAAAAAAGAACAACAGAAGCACCTCGCTGCCAGAGTTTTGACGCAGCAGCTAAAGCCATAGGCCAAAACAGGTAGTCCTCGACTTACGTCCATAACTGAGCCCCAATTTTCCATTGCTAAACAAGACAGTTGTGAGAAGCAGGTTCTGCCCCCTTTTACGACTTTTCTTGCCACAGTTCTTTAACTGGCGAGCACCCTTTGAACTCTCTTGCTTCTTCATTTAAATCCACCTGCCCTTTGAACAAGGAGACAGAGGCAAGGCCCTGGTCCCCTCTTTCTGACAAAGAGAGGAGGGGATTAGAACTGTTTTTTAAACAGGCATTGGAAAGAGGTTTTTTATTACACTTACGAACAATGAATTCACAGAGGAGAAAAGACGAAAGAAAGAAAAAGAAAGAAAGAAAGACAGAAAGAAGGAAAGAAGGAAGGAAAGAAAGAAGGAAAGAAAGAAAAGAAAGAAAAAGATGGAAGGAAAGAAGGAAAGAAAGAAAAAAAGGAAGGAAAGAAAAAGAAAGAAAGAAAGAAAAGAAACTGCTAACACCCGTAGAAACGGCAAGCCAGTTTTGTGCCCAAAGGCCTCTTAAGGCTTAAGCTAAGTCAAAAAGCTGGCTAAATGCCTGGAAAACACGCACACAAGGGGTGTGAGTCTCCAGCTACAGCCCAATTTCACAAACTGCAGCTAAATCAAGCTGACTGAAGCCTACAAAACCACAAAGGGCTGGAGAAACTCTCTCAGCAGCCAGCCGGACATTTTCACAATCACTCCAGAAAGAGCCTTGCAGAGAGAGAGAGAGATGTGTGGAATGTTTATTTAACTTTGCTTCCCATCCTCTCCAGAAATCATCCAGCAGCCCTCAAAAACATTCCAGTGCCGCTCCTTCAAGAAAACAACCATTATTTCCTTTTAGCCCTGATCCTACCTAACTGGATGACGAAAGGTCTGCAAAAAACAACAATCAGGCTTAAAGAGCACCAAGGACCCCACAATAATAACAAACTCTCCCTACTTCTGACTCTTTTGTGCACATCCCTGACTTATCACACACCACCCACACACATCCCTGTCAAGCTGTACAGCAGATAGTAGAGAATTTCAGCAGAGGGGCTGTAAGGCGGTAGGATCTATAGGATTCCATTCAGGTTGAGTTTCCTCCTTCAACACCTTGTTCATTTTCAACCTCGGATCCTCCTTGGCACCTTCATCCTTGTTTATTTATTCAATATTTTTCAATATTTATTCTACAGCCGTCTGTGTCCTCCAATGACTCCGGGCTGCTTACAATTGCAATTCTTTTGTTCCCCTCCCTTTTGCATTCAAGGCTGGAGGTAAGACGGGCAGCTTGCACATTTTATAAATCAATCAATTAAAAGTTGGCGGTCTTGCTCCAATTGCAGGACCCGGGCTACGGTTGGCCGGCTGCTGTGTTTAGTGGGGTGCAAAACGAGCCGCTTGTGGCTCATGGGGTGAACCCAGCCTGCTTGATCAGGCTGTGATCCCAGATTGGGATCGATCCAGGGTTGGGATCCACACCCCACACCCCCCACGCTTTGGCTTTGTGCACTTCAAGCCCCAAAAAAACCCTTGGGTGGATTCCAGCACTGGATCACAGGCTGATGATCCCAATGGCCACTTCTTTCCCCTCATCCCTTCCCCACTCTTTTGCTTTTTTCCTCCCTCCCACCCACTCCCCCCCTTTCCTCCTGATGCTTTGGACTTCCACTCCCATCATCCCCAGCTCAGGGCAGTGGCAAAGACTTCAAAACAAAATAAAAAATAAAGGAAAGCTGCGGGGTGCAGCTTTCCACCCTGGGGATTGCGGGGTTGCACTTAACGGAAGGACTACACAACCCATGCTTGCAAAAGGCACAGAGGGGGAGTTATGGGTTTTGTAGTCCTAAGTTATTGTTAAGGGGCGTTATTTTTGGGGGGGGGGAAGCTTCTTTCCCTGCACCCCATTTCCCCAAAAACGCAAAAAAATGAGCCCGGGGGGGTCACTCACTCACTCGCCCGGCTCGCCTCGTCCGTCTCGGCTTTGCAAGCGTCTCTGCTTTGACCTCCTTCAGACGTGTCTCCCCTCTTCAGCCGGGGCCGCCCCCGCCGCGCGCGGATTGGCCGGCGGGCGGGTCACGTGGGCGGACGCCCGGCGGAGGACGCCTCCCGATTGGCTCGAGCCGCTCCCCTTCCTCCTCCCTCCCTCCCTCGCAGCCCCGCCCCCTTCGCGCCCAGCCCGGCTTTCCGATCTTGCGGCGGAGCAAAAAAGAGGCGGAGGAGAATTTTGGGCCTTCCCGGGAGCCGTAGTCCGGTCACGTGCTCTCGGAGCCGCTTCCTGGAGTGGGCCGGGCTTTCGCTCCGCCGGGCGCTTTTACGACACTCTCCCCCCCCACGCCTCGCTTTGTGGCAGCGCGGGAGCCGGGCGCGGCGGAACGGCGGGGGCCCCAAAAAATGTTGGGGGGCGCCGAGGAGGAGGACGCCGACTTCCTGTCCCCGACGGGAGGGTGAGAGCGCGGGAGGGGGGTCAACCCCTGCCGAAGGGGGGGGAAGGCTGTGGGCGGGACCGGAAGAGGAACTCGGTACTTCCGTTCGCCTGTCAAAGCTGAGGGGACAACCTGCTGGGCCTAATCCCTCAAATATATATATATATTATTTGAGGGGAGGGCCATTCATCCACCCCCGAGTGCCTCTGAGCACGTTCAGAGTGCATTAAAATGTCTGGAGAGGGTGGGGGGATGGGTGTCTAAAATCAGAGCTGGCTTTGTTCGGCCCCCCAGGGTGCCTCTGAGCATGTGCAGAAGGCATTTCAAATTCTGGGGAGGGGTCTGGAGTCACAACTGCCTTTCTGGGGCTTCTGAGCATGTGCAGAGGGCATTTGGAAAGGGCTTTTCTATAATATTGGATCAGTTCCCCCCCCCCCCAAAGGAAGCCTCCTGGGCTCCAAGGGTGCTCCTGAGCAGGTGCAGAGGGCTTTTCAAGGAAAACTGAGTTGTATTCAGGAGCCAAATGTCTTCTGCCTCCCCCCCCTCAGTAGACATTTAACGTAGGTTGGAGGGTCGAAATGGGGGGGGGGGAGAGGGAAGAAAATAAAAGGAAGAAATATGTGTATAGGTAGATCTATACTTTCTTTTGAGAGAGATAAGACAACCTTTACTTAAGAGATAAGACAACCTTTACTGTTATTTTTTACTGTGAAAACACTGGCATACATTAAAAATTAAATCCTGTTGCCTGATCAGGATTTAATTTTTAATGTATGCCAGTGTTTTCACAGTAAAAAATAACAGTAAAGGTTTGTTTATTTTTTTATTTATTTATTTATTTTTTAGATTTATATCCCGCCCTTCTCCTTACGGACTCAGGGCGGCTAACAACCGGATAAAAATACAAAAATATCACACTACAGATTAAAAAAATTAATTAAAAGGGAAATATTAGTAATTGGTCTAATTAAAATTATAATTAAAACCCCCTCTAAAAGTTTCCCCTAGGCCAGTCCCGCAAGCTGGAATAACCATGTCTTAAGGGCGCGGCGGAAGGAAGGGAGATCAGGGATCACCCTGATCTCGGGGGGGGGGGGTAGTTCATTCCAGAGGGTGGGAGCTCCCACAGAGAAGGTTGTCTTATTTATCTCTTAAGATCTTTTCTTAAAGGAATAATGGAATTCCAGTAAGAGAACAGAGTCATTTGAGTGGAAAAAAAAAATCATAATTTTCCATTAGAGACACAAAAGCTGCGTTCTCCCTAAATATTTATCCAGGACGGTTTAGCTTTGTGCAACGTGGTTGGACAGGGTTGTTCGAGTAAACGTCGAATCTTATATTCTTATTTCAAAAAATAGAAGCAGTTACTGACGTAAACAGGCATAATAGTGTCAGAGAGATTCTTCTGGGTAGTTGCGTGGTCTGTCAGCATTAAAGAGGTTGGTGGGGAGAATAATTATCTTGTCTCTGAATGTCGCAAGAATGTGCTTAGTTAAGCAAGCCGGGGTTGGGAGCTTGTGCAACCGAGAATGGTGAGGGCAAAAGGTTGGGTGGAAAGAAGCTTGTATTGATTAGATTAATGTTTGTGTTTGTGAGGGGGTTGGGGGAGATTATTCCTGCCTGTCCTACTTACCTGCATACCTACATTACTCCAGGTTAAGCAACACGCAGCGCACAGAAAAAATAAAATACTAAGCCAAAGAAACGAAAGGCATAAGAGAAAGTATGAAAACTTAGCTACAGCTAGCTTACACAAACCACCATCTCTGCACGTCTGCATGCCATGCTTTCCATCACAAAATGGTTGCAGAGGACAGCTTGTTGGCTTGCAAGGTAGTTTGCATAAAGGGGCTTAAGATAAAACTAGGGTCTGGCATTGTTTGTAGCCAAACATGTCAGAACTGAGCAGCGTTGTCCTCAAGCTTATCTGGAAATATGTGGCATGCACATAATGGAGGACCTCATCTCTACAGTAGCATCTCTGTTTTACTGGAAAGCATCATGTGAAAACATTTCCATGCCCAATAAAAGTACATTTCTAAATAGAGTTATATCCTTCCTGGCTTTTAGGAAGTCAAAGTTTCATAGTCTCATAGAGTAGAATTCTACAAAGATTCTCCATTATCCAAGTCATAGTTGTCCCAAAGGTGCTTTTTCAAACGATAACTGGACTTTCTTGTTTTTTCTTTGAAGATGTTTCGCTTCTCATCCAAGAAGCTTCTTCAGCTCTGATTGGATGGTGGGGAATGGAAGGATTTATACTCCTTGCAGACAGCTGGTTATTTGCCTTCTTTTAGAGAGTTGTTGAAGCCACTTGGAGGTTTATCTGTGTCTTCAGGGTCACCTGAATAGTGCAAATGGGTGTGGAACCTTCTTGGGACTGCTGAAGGGACTGTGTTGTAAACAGGAGATAAGTGGCGTCATATCCCTCTATTGAAAGAGGGCTGTTCTCACGTAGTAGATTACTCCAAGAGTAATTCAGTGAGGGCTGAATAAGCGAGGACTTATTAGATCAACCCAATCTTAAATTTAATTCCTGCGACACTGACAAGGGAAAGAAAACTGGGAAAGCTCCCTAACTCTAAAAGTGAGATAGTTTCGTATGGAAAAGATTCTTAGAGGGGAGAAAAAAAAACAGGATGAGAAAGTCAGGAGGAAATTTCATACTAGGGAAACTCCACAATTGCACTGCTCTGATCAGCAGAGCTGGATTTGCAAAATGGAAGATTTTGCAAACATTGTGGGCGGTTTCCAACATGGTCCCTGCATTTCAAACCCTTGAGATGTGTGAAGGTATCAGCTTTTCCCAGCCTAGCTTTTGAGATAAGCTGGGACTACAATTCCCAGAGTTCCTTTGGCCTTTGCTGGGTGGATTTCTTGTATTTTTCAATTTGGGGAAGGCTAGTCTGTCTGTCTGTCTCTCTCTCTCTCTCTCTGTGTGTGTGTGTCTCTCTCTCTATGTCTCTTCCCCCCCCCTTCAGATTTGGTGATAAATATCCTTTAGTCAGATATAAAATACAGATAGTCCTTGACTTACAACAGTTCATTTAGTGACCGTTCAAAATTACAACGGCACTGAAAAAAGTGACTTATGACCGTTTTTCGTACTTACGACGGTTGCAGCATCCCCAGGGTCTTGTGATTAAAATTTGGATGGGTGGCAACCAGTTCATATTTACGATGGTTGCAGTGACCCGGGGTCCATGCGATCCCCTTTTGCAGCCTTCTGACTGGGGAAGCCATTTAACATTCATTTGAGTGTTACTAACTTAACAACTGATGTGAGTCACTTAACAAGAAAGGTCGCAAAATGGAGCAGGGGGAAGGGAGCTGATGTATTGGGAGAACTTGGCTGACCTGGGGTCCTGCGGATTGCAGCCCAGAAAAAGTCTGCAGAGCGCTAAGTTACGAAAACGCTTGGCTCTGGTTCCAAGAATAGCTGGAGGCCATCCTGCTCCTTTTGATTCAGTTTGACTTCCTTTTTTTCCTACCCCTTTCCACCCGTCCAGAGTTAGCTAAGCAAATTGGAACCATGTGATGGGCCAGCTTTTCAGGCCTGCCATCCAATCCAGACCACGTACCACGGGACATTGTCTCATTTCCCTTCATCTCCTGTTCCAGAAGGGGATGGAGATAATAAGATGGTGTTCTCTTGAGTTGGGAAGAACTACGAAAGGCTTCGTAGTTTAATTGGAAACTTTAATTGGAAACTGCTGTCCTGTTCTGGGACCGCTCTGGGACATCCTTATTGGGAAGAAAGCGCTGCGGTTTTTATGGACGCACAAAATGCTCGTTTTTATTATTATTATTTAAAATGTTTATTAGTTACCTGCTTTGGTGATGAGCCAGCTGCAAGAAGAGCAGAGAGCACCAGGGATCCCACAAAATGCTTATTTTCCCACCCCACTGGCAACACCGATGGAAAACAAAAACAACACTATCAAATCCAAACATTCCCAATACTGAATAGGCTGTTTTTTGAATAATTGAAGGCCTACTGGGAGGGGGGAAAGCATTTTTGACCCCATTTTGCTGCCATCAGGGAGGGATCCAGGTGCCAGGCCCCAGGATTCAATCTGGGGTCAGCCTATTCTTCTATGGCGAGGCTCTTATGGGCAAGGCCTCTGTTGCTAAGTGAGATGGTGGCTAAGTGGGGCTTGTCCCATTTTACGACTGTTGTTGCCACAGCTGTTAAGCGAGTCACTGCAGTTCTTAAGTTAGCAACACGGCTGTTAAATGAATCTGGTCGCAAAAGGGGATGGCGTTACCCCCCCCCGGGGCGCCGCGACCGTCGTAAATGCGAGTCAGTTGCCAAGCGTCTGAATTTTGAGGCCGCAGCGGTCCCAAGTGTGAAAAACAGCCGTAAGTCACTTTTTTCACGGCCTCTGTAACTTTGAACAGTCACTAAACGAACTTTCGTAAGCCGAGGGCTAGCTAGCTATTCTTCCTTTATAATACGGTGTGTTCTTTTTTCTTTTAAATTTTGCCATTTTTTTTTCTTTTTAAAGTGCAAAAGGGAACAGAGCCCTAATCAGGTCCTCCCTAAACGGCTTTGCAGGGAAGGTAAAATAATTTTTAAGTACCATAAGGTGGTCTCTCTCTCTCTCTTTTTTTTTTTATTCCCTCTTCCTTCAGGCTGGTTTCATAAAACTCCGTTCCTCCTTGGTCTTTCTGAATCGGTTCCCACGGATCTGAACCCCTCTTAAAACCTGAGGTGCAGACTTGGTCTCAGGAGTTAGGTGACCAGAGCAGATCTTGCAAGCGACGGGCGTGCTGACTCCTTACGTTTAGATCCTCGCCTCTTAGCTTTCCAAGGTCGCTCGGCAATTCCAGAGACCTGATCTTGCGCAAATTCAGAATTGGTGGGGTTTTTTTGGGAAAACTCGAGTTTGCTTGTTAGCTTCCCAGCCCCCTGGCTGCTGAGGCTCCAAGATGGGAGAAGAGGAGGAGGGGAAAATGTGATTATCCTTGAGGAAAGCAGTCATGAAGGTTGTGAACAGGGAGACGTTGTCGCAAGCACAGCCAGCCGGAGCTGAAGGTGGCCATGGCGAATCCATGGCGGACTGAGTATTTTTGGCAAGCTGCTCACGGGTCAGTTGGTTTGGTTTTCTTTCTGGATATTGTTGTTGGTGTGAAGGTTGCATGGCTAAAATTGCCAACCTTCGGTCCCAGGAGATTGAGAGTGTCTGTTTAGCCCAAGGACTGAATATTTGGCCTTGGCAATTGGGCTTAGCCCTGAGGGAATTCTCAGCTTTGGTGATTGATTGGACCACACAAGTTTCTAGCTCTGAAGACTGTGAAAACAGGGCAGAGAGGGATTCTTTACTGCTTTGGCATAGGGTGACTCAGCACGGCGCTGGTCCTCATTGTTTTGCTTCACCTCCCAGTGGGCGTGGCCCAGGTTTGGCGGAAGATTCTGCAAATTTGCATATTTAATTTGGACAGTGCCTGCTTGGCTTAGGGTTACGGCTGGTCACGGCTATCTTGTGGGGGTTTCCCCCCCCCCCAAACTCCTAGCTTTAAAAACCTTGGTTTGAAGCAAATCAGAGATTCCACATTGGGTGTACCATGTATTTCTCCAGGCTGTGGAGAAAATATTTGAGGGTTTCAGTACTCAAACTAGGTAACATCATCAGCTCCCTAGTACTAATCATCATCAGCTTCCTAGTAATGATGATGTTACCTAGATTGGGTCATGAAATGTCTGCCACCAAAGAACCAAACTCAGAGCTATTGTATATAAACAGGGAACAAGTCACACTCACTAGCACCGATGATGTTACCTAGTTGGGTCATGAAACGTCTGCAAGAAAACAGCCAAGCTCAGAGAGCACCAAGGACCCCACAGTTCTCCTCCTCCTCCTCCTCCTCCTCCTCCTCCTCCTCCTCCTCCCTTCTAGTGCTGATGATGTAACCTAGTTTGGGTCATGAAACGTCTGCAAGAAAACAGCCAAGCTCAGAGAGCACCATTTCAACCCTGAGCCACAAATATTCTCCTTTACCAGTTCTCACCTTTATCTCTCTTTATTAACTGGGCATTTCCCCCCCCCTCCCCTCTTTCTGCAGGGCCAGGCTGGCCTCTCTCTTCGGCATGGACCAGACAGCCCCTGGTACTGGGAATGAATTTTTCCAGTACACAGCCCCCAAACAGCCGAAGAAAAGTCTACCAGCCACAGGTAAAGTAATTGTTGGCCCAAATCCCGCATGCCTAAGCAAGGACGGCTTTTTTCCAGCGGGGAATGAAACAGCGCCCTCCGATGGATCTGGCTGGAATAACAGTTTTGGAAAAAACGCTCGGCGGCCAGTGCGCTTGGTGGGGCTGGGACCCCCCCCTAAATCAATTAATGTGGGAACACAGGCAGCCTTCGACTTTCAGCCACGACGGGGTCCAAAATCTCTGTTGCTCAGCGAGACAGATAGGGACCCTTCCTCGTTCCACTGTCGGTGGTCTTCCAGATGTTTTGACTCGCATCTCACTGCAAAATGTACAACGAAGTGTTTTCCTTGTGTTTTGCTTCAGGCGCAGGCCCTCCGTCCCAGAAGCCTCCCCCGCCTGCGGCGGTGCCCTCCGTCTTCGTAGCCACAGCCGTCCACGCCTACCGGTTGTAAGTACTATATTTACTACTAGAAGTGCTGCTTGCTTGTAAGGATTAGTTGCCCTTATGTAGCGGGTGTTTTTTCCCTGTGGGGGAGGAGGGTTCAGAGAGCACCAAAGCCTCCATCCTTCAACCCTGAGCTATCAAGAGTCTAGAATACAACCACAGGGATTGGAAGGGACCTTGGAGGTCTTCTAGTCCAACCCCCTGCTCCAGGCAGGAGACTTATACCATCCCGGCCAAATGATGGTCTATTTTGGAAAACCTCCAGCGATGGAGCGCCCACAACTCCGAGAGCTGATTACAGGTAGTCCTCAACCTTTCTGTCACTAAGTGAGACATTTAAGTAAATTTTGCTCCGTTTTATGACCCTGGCTTGCCGCCCTTGCTGAGTGGATCAACTGCAGTTGTTAAGTTCGTCACCCTGAAAAAAAGGGGCTTAGGACCGTTTTTCATGCCGCATGCCCCAGGACCGTGTGATCAAAATTCGGACCCTCGACTCGTTTAACGATGGTCGCAGCGTCCCCAGGGGTCACGTGGCCCCCTTCTGCGGCCTTCTGGCGAGCAAACTCAACGGGGAAAAACCAGATTCCCTTAAACAATCGTCTTACTAACTTTACCACCGCAGTGATTCATCTTCACAACGGCAGCAAGAAAGGTCGTAAAACGGGACAAAATTCGCTGGACAAATGTTTCACTTAGCGATGGGAATTTTGGTGGTAAGCCGAGGACCACCTGTATCTTAAGATGAAAAGTAGCAGAAGCTGATAAGGCTCTTCCTGTCTCCTTCCAGTACAAACGGGACGTATGTGAAACAAGGCAAATATGGAGCTGCTGTGGTAGGATGCCACGCCACGCAGGAGGTAAGTGGTGGGACTCTGGGTGGCCCTAGTGCTTCCCTTTGTGTCCTGGTTTCTAGGCCACATTGTTTTGAAAAACTCAAGAGGCATAAAGGCAACCCTGAAAGAGGTTGGACTGGATGATAATCTGCCTTCGTGCGTTCAATCCTGGCTTTCTATAGAAGTATCCCCCATTGGTTGAAGATTACACTTTCATTACACTTTAAACCCAAATTTAATAGAATCTGTTCCGTGTGAATTTGGTTGCTGCATCAGCTCAAGGGGGTCTCTGAACATCCTTGTTTTTTCCCCCCCCCTCTTCTTCCTCTTTTCTGTGGCATATGGAATCCAGTACAGGATCCTGCTTTATATAAACCAGCAGCAGCAGATCACCAGCGCAAGAATCCACGCTGGTTTTGTGTTCACGGTAAGCCTCGGTGGTTAAACGTTGGGAAAAAGTTGACCTTGGTCTGAAAGCATGTAATGAAGGATTCCTGGATCGGTTCATGGAGAATATGAACTAATTTTTATGCATCCAGGTAGTTTTCAACTTGCAACAATTTGTTTTAACAATTTAACCGTGATTCGCCATTTGCGACCTTCTCAGTGGGCTTCTGACGAGCAAAATCAATAAGGGAAGCCCTGTTTCCTTAACAACTGCTTAAGAGGCATGGAAAAGACTCACATAACTGATTTGCTTAGCAGCAAAGATTCTGGTCCCACTTGAGGACTGCCTGAATAGCAATTTAAATGCAGGTCCTCCCGTTCTTCCTTTAAAGAAAATATGATCAAGCTAGTTTGGTTTTGATTTCAAAGGACGCTTTCAGCTCCGTTTCCAGACATAAGAAAAGTTAAATGCAGGTGATGGAAACAAAATGTTGTCTTTGTTTCTTTTATATATTTATTATTTACATATATATTGGACACAGTTAGGATTGTTCTGATTGCTGCTACGGTGTTTGGCACAATGTTGCCGTCATTTTTATTTTGTAAACATTTTCCTTAGCATTGTTTTTTTTTTATACCCTGTGATTCCCCCCCCCCCCCGTTCTTAAAACTATGCTCTCTGTGGTGGTCCATTTTACCCTCCAGAACTGATGCTTGTTCTTTTTTTATTGTTTAATCTAGATCCAGCCCAACAACTATGGGACGTTTTATGATGATCAGAGGCAAAACTGGTCCATCATGTTTGAATCTGAGAAAGCAGGAGTGGATTTCAGCAAGCAGGTGCCCACATTGTGCTCAAAGCTTAGTCCTACCCTTGGGCGAAATGAAACAGCTGTTCTGAGTGGCCACACTGTCTTCCTTTACCCATCCTTGTCTTCCTTCCTTCCTTCCCTCCCTTCCCCCTCTCCCTCCCTTTTTCCTTCCATCCTTCCTACATTCTTTTCTTCCCTCCCTCCCTCCCGGTGATCACGGACGTTACTCAGAGCTCGTTCTTTTTGCTTATAGCTCTGCATTGCCAAGTATAACAGCAGCCCTTCCCCTGATTCGGTGCTGTGCCAGGATCTGGTCCTCGGAGACGGTCCAGCTGTGGAAGCCGGCGACGCGCTCGAAGTTGCCTTTACCGGCTGGCTCTTCCAGAACTCCGCGCTGGGGCAGGTAAAACCCTAGGAGAAGGAGGATGTTCTCAACCCCTAAAGACCTTGGATGATGTTTTTTCAAGCTTGCAGGATTGCTGTCTGTGTGACGAAGTGCTGGGTCCCCTTTTCACAGCGTTCGTTTGCGTTTTATCCTTGCAGGTGTTCGACTCCAACGTGAACAAGGAGAAACTCCTGCGTCTGAAGCTCGGCTCTGGAAAAGTCATCAAGGTGAGGGGAGGCAGTCCTGTTTCAAAGGGCTTCAAGTGGGATTTGGGTTTTTAAACTTCCTGCTTTCCTTCTCAGCTAGGAAAATGACTCTGAAGAAGAGAGGGGGAAAACCCCTCCTTCCGTGTAATTTAAAGCTCTGTTTTCAAGCTTAAGAGAGTGAGTTAAATCTCATCTGTTTATGACATGGCTTTGTGTTTTCTCCCCAAAGGGCTGGGAAGAAGGGATGCTTGGTTTGAAGAAAGGAAGCAAGCGCTTCCTCGTGGTCCCTCCAGCTCTGGCGTATGGGTCTCAGGGAGTAGCGAACCACGTGCCTCCAGACTCAACACTGGCTTTCGAAGTGGACGTCAAGAGGGTAAGCTGTTCTTCAGAGCCAGCTGTCACTTGTGTAGCTCTGTCTGTCTTGAAAGAGTGCAGAGAAGAGCAACCAAGATGATTAGGGGACTGGAGGTTAAAACATACGAAGAACGGCTGCAGGAATTGGGTAGGTCTAGTTTGATGAAGAGAAGGATGAGGGGAAACATGATAGCAGTCTTCCAATATTTGAGGGGCTGACCCAAAGAAAAGGGGGTCAACCTCTTCTCCAAAGCACCTGAAATAATGGATGGAAACTAATCAAGGAGAGAAGCAACCTAGAACTAAGGAGGGATTTCCTGACCGTGAGAACAATTAACCAGTGGAACACCTTCCCACCAGAGGTTGTGGGTGCTCCAACACTGGAGGATTTCAAGAAGAGACTGGGCAGCCATTGGTCCAGAATTGTATAGGGTCTCCTGCTTGAGCAGGGGGTTGGACTAGAAGACCTCCAAGGTCCCTTCCAACTCTGTTATTCTGTCTCACGCCTCCATCTTTCTTAGGTGAGGTTGGCCAAGGAAACTGCTTCCAATGGGCAGAATGTGGCCCCCAGGGACTCCCTCACACCCTCCCCAGGACCAAACACTGAACACCTCAGCGCCGACCCTGCAGGGGGTCCTCCCAGTACTCTACCACCGAAGCCTGGGTGAGTTAGTAATTTGATTTGAATTTTTCAATCCTCTCCTGCATGTTCTGCTTTTGGTGGGCAAGGCCTGCTGTTTGAGAAAGAATCAGGAACGCTAGCCACTGTTCATATCTAATTCAAATGCTGCAGGCCAGTGTTTCTTAACTTTGGCAACATTAAGACAGGTGGACTTCAACTCCATCCTGACTGAGGAATTCTGGGAGTTGAAGTCCACAGACCTTAAAGTAGCTGAGGTTGAGAAACAGTGCTACAAGCTTTGAAATGCGTAAAACAGACCTTCTACACTGCTCAGCTGTTCTAAGCCTTTACTTCAGGGGTCTTCAAACTTGGCCCTTTTACGACTTGTGGACTTCAACTCGCAGAATTCCTCAGCCAGGCCCGCTGGCTGAGGAATTCTGGGAGTTGAAGTCCACAAGTCGTAAAAGGGCCACGTTTGAAAACCCCTGGTCTACTTTTTATGCCACAGGGAGCCAGCTGTGCGGGCCAAATCCAACTCTCTCAGTGAACAACTAGCGGTAAGTCTTGGGGTCACCCCGGCTGGCGTCCTTTCTCCAGTTTTTAATTTCAGGGTTGCATCTAAACTCTGCTCACCTAAATCGAATCTTGTTGACTACAACTTTCTGTCAGTGGGAACTAATTCTGAGTCAACTGGAATGCATTCATTCCCAGCTAACCGAGGGACTCCATGCTGCCTGGTTTTTGAAAGTTGAAAGGCGGGGGTCCCCGTGGGCTGATTTTTACAGGCTGAGCTCAGGAAATTAGGGCATTTTTATCTGACACCTTTCTTTCTTTCCCTGTCTTTGTCCCATCGGTTGTGTCAGAACCCCAACGTGGCAAAAGCGAAGCTGATTTCACGAATGGCCAAGATGGGTCAGCCTATGCTGCCTTTCCTTCCCGGTTCGGCTCCGGCCCAGCTGGACTCAAGCGACTCGGAGATCGAGGTGGGTGGGCTTCAGAATCTGGAGGATACTGCAAGTGGGAGGGTGGGGGGGATCCTTACTGCTCACAAGGATCAGCCTTGTTCCAAAACTGGTGTGAGTTCTGAGAAACCATTCAATGGATTGTTCTTCCCAATTCTTTCCTTAGATGGTTGAGATGAGCTGTAATATTTTTTTTTATACTCTGTAATTTACCATTTTATTGTAAGCTGCCTAGAGAGTTACATATGTGAGATAGGAGCTATATAAATTGATTAATCGATTGAATGAATGAATGAGAGAGACAATTAGGGAAGGCATGAAAAGATACCGATAGTTCTCAATTTACGGCGGTATTTGAGCCTGCACTTATGATTACAAGTCAAGGAACTCGTGTGACTGTGCCCGATTTCACACCATTTATTTTGGGCTGCCTTCAGAGTGGCATATTCAAGGAGAAAAGGGGTTTGGGATGGCAAGGGAAAACTAAGACAAATTAATACATCCCCTGGTGGGTGTGTATTTCAGGACCCCCACAGTTTGCGAGAAGCTGCACATCCCGTCACATCTTCTCCGCTGAAACCATCCTCCCCAGCTGGCCTTCCTCAGATAACAGCCCAAGGCACGTAAATCTATCTGCTCTCAACCTGCACTTCATCTTCAACCTGCATTTCTTAAGTAAAGTAGTGGAAAAAATGAAAATGGACCCCAGTGGTTTTGACATTATGTTAAGCGTATTGTCCATTGGCTTCTCAAAATTCAAGTGAGACCAGAGGGGCTAGAAATTTGGTTGAAGAAGGTAAAAATTCTTGCCCTCGTCTGTGTATTCTGTGCTGCTGTAGAATTGCTCTGCACTGCACTCCAGGGCCCCAGGTTACTCCTCCTGGTTATCTTGGGTTCTAGAACCCAGCCAAAAATCACCTTCACAAGAATGACTTCTAGTTTCTTCTGATTTCCGCATTGGCTTATGTTCTGGAGGCCACCAAGATCAGACTTGGGTTCTAGAACCCGCCCAGAACTCACCTTCAGAAGAATGATTTCTAGCTTCTTCTGATTTCTGCATGGGCTCTTGTTCTGGAGGCCACCAAGATCAAACTTGGGTTCTAGAATCCGCCCAGAACTCACCTTCAGAAGAATGATTTCTAGCTTCTTCTAATTTCTGCGTGGGCTCTTGTTCTGGAGGCCACCAAGATCAGACTTGCGTTCTAGAACCAGCCCAGAAAAAAAAATCACCTTCAGAAGAATGATTTCTAGTTTCTTCTGGTTTCTGCAGACGTGGGTTTATCTAGCTCCTGCGTTGACTCCACCTTTCTCAACTGCAGGACTGTTCACAGTCTCCTTTTTCTTTTCATAGGGCCCCAGGCACCTGCTCCTGGATTCCAGGTGTCCTCAGCTGCTGTGATGCCCACCGCCTTGCATCCACACCCCGCTCTCCCTGCATCTGCTCAGAGTCTTCAGGTAGGGATGTTGATGAGCATTGGGTCCTGACCCTGGTGGGGTATGTAGCTAGGGGAACTCTGGAACCAGTTGCTAAACGGCTAGTCATAAGTTGAGGACTTCCTGTAGATTCCTCTTCCTTGGGCTAACGGTTTCCAGCCTGAAACGGAAAGCCTTGGGGCTAAAACATCTTTCTATCTACCTTCACCCTTTTAGGCATACACAGGGATGAACTATGGGTACCCACAAGGCCCTGTGGCAGCTTCCCAGCTCCAACCGGTCGGGGCCATCTTTCCCGCTCCTTTCCAAGGTAGGCGAGGACCTGCACTGCACTGCTCTAAAATGGCTGCATCGACAGAGCATGCTAAACCAGGATTAGGCAGAGCAGCTTATCCCAAGAGCAGCTCTTTCTGTTTATTGCTCTGTTCCTGATGCTCTCTTTTTCGAAAATGGTGTTTCCTGTTTCCTTCCAAAGCAGCCGGTGATATTGGATCTTTCTTAATGACGGAAGCAAGGCAACAGAACACCGAAGTCCGCCTGTCTGTGGGCAAAGTGGCTGACAAAATAGACCAGCTCACTGCTAAGGTAACATCAAAGTGATGAGGTGGCGTAAGGATTTGCTTGTCTACAAGCCATACTGATTAGTCTAGGAGCTTTCTTCCCAGTTCAGCTGGCCAGATGTTTGGGAAACCCACAAACCCACCAGTTAGCGGACGCATTTAGGCAATTGGCTATCTCGAGTTGAATTGTGGAGTCCTTGGTGCTCTCTGAGCTCGGTTGCTTGCTTGTTCAACCTTTCATTACCCAACTCGGCAACATCATGAGATGTTGCACCTAGAACGCTACCGATGGTGTCTTCTGTTGGAATTGGATATCTTTTTCTGGGCAACACTTCAGTTGCCGCAAATTGGGGCAGCTGCAGTTTTTTCCCTCCTTACATCTCCTTTAGAGTGAGTTCTAGGTGGATGAATGGCTAGGATCATGCATTACATTCAACTGTAACATCATGTGTGAATCCCATCATGGTTTAAACCACTAAGGCTCTCTTGAATGCATCGTAGCTCTCGTGGATCGAATAAGATACCTTGGCCAAGGTGTGATCCGAGACCTTCTCTTTATCTCACAGGTGGAGGAGCTCCAGAAACAGAATTCTACCCAAAGCCTGTTACCAGGTATCTCCTCTGTCACCATGGAGACGACCATGATTATGACCAACATCCAGCGCATTGTCCAGGTAAAGTGAAGAGAGAGAATGAAGTGTTGATCTTAAGTTTCTCCAGGATTTTTTGGAATGTATGTGGCCTCTGTAATGGGTTCTTAGTTCTCCATTGACAAAAAAACACAAACTTCTTCCATTTAACATGATTGCCAATTCTCTGGAACGATCCATTCCAGGATTGAGGCATTTTGTCCATCTTTAGTTGATAATAGAACATCTGTCCCCTCATTGTAGGAGATGGAGAAGCCCGTCCTACTTAAGGAGAAGACATCTCTGATGGCATAGGCCATGAGACTCCATGTGAGAGTCTCTAGGTATTAGATACAGCTTCCACCCTCTTTTGCTGATGGGACTTGTCCTACAGAACCATCTGGAGATGCTATCACAGGAGCCCAAAGGTGCTTTTTCAAGAGGCAACTGGACTTTCTTGTTTTCCTTTGAAGACGTTTTGCTTCTCATCCAAGAAGCTTCTTCAGCTCTAACTGGACGGTGGGGAATGGAAGGATTTATGTTCTTTGCAGACTCAGGTGACCTTGAAGACAGAGACAAACCTCCAAGAGGCCTCAACGACTCTCTAAAAGAAGGCAAATGACCAGCTGTCTGCAAGGAATATAAATCCTTCCACTCCCCACCATCCAGCCAGAGCTTGAAGAAGCTTCTTGGACGAGAAGCAAAACATCTTCCAAGAAAAACAACAAAAAAAAAAGTCCAGTGGCCTTTTGAAAAAGCACCTTTGCGACAACCACGACCTGGATGGCTGAGGATCTCCATTAGACCTTTATCACGGGAACCCCTAACCGCTAATCCCAAGGAGAAGGACGCTTTCCAATCTTTTTTTGGGGGGGGGGTCCTCTCTGCAGGAAAATGAGAGGCTGAAGCAGGAGGTTTTCGAGAAGAGCCGTCGCATCGAGGAACAGAACGGGAAGATCAGTGAGCTGATTCAGCGGAATCAGAGGTGAGGACTCTCCTAATTGATTAAGATTGAGAATTGATGATTTCCATCCGTATCTCCATCACCCTTTGTGAAGGCCGCCTTTGATGCGTGGCTCTCTTTTTTTTCTTCCTTTCAGATACGTGGAACAAAGCAATCAGTTGATGGAGCAACGGAACAACTCTCTGCAACTGAACACCGAACATTCTCAAGCCAGGGTCTTGCACGCCGAGCAAGAAAAGGTAAGGACGCCAAGAGGAAAGGGGGATATTTGAGACACGGGCCAAGATAGCTTAGAGAGGAAGAGAGCAGCCCCCCCCCCAAAACCTTGGGCTTCCACCCAGCATTGTAGGTTAATTCCCTTAGATCAGTGGTGGCGAACCTATGGCACGCGTGCCAGAGGCGGCACTCAGAGCCCTCTCTGTGGGCACACGAGCTATGCCCCGGAGATGCCAACTGTCCCTCTTCATCCAGCCACCCGCTAACTCGCTGAGGTCCCACGTGGCCGGATGCATCCCAGCACCCATGCGCTCACTGCTCTCTGTGTGTGGGGGCCGATGATGTCAGGCAGCAGCTGCCCCGGCCCCTGCCTCGCCTTGCCCTGCGACAATGGCACCCCCGCCCTGCCTCACCTCACCCCACAGGACGAGCTTCCTGCCCACTGCCCCACCTGCCAGAGACGCCCTAGATCTCCCCTAACCCTGCCTGGCCCCCACAGGCGTCCCTTCCCAAGAGCAACATTGAGCTGCCCACACCCACCCAGGCCACGCCCACCCATCTGCCATGACCACTGTAGCCACACCTAGCAGGCCACGCCCACCCGGCACCTGGCGATACATAAGTGGGTTTTGGGTTGCAGTTTGGGCACTCAGTCTCTAAAAGGTTCGCCATCACTGCCTTAGATGCTGTGCTTACCGCCATCAGAATCCCACACGGGGAAAATTGGAAAGCAGAGAAAAAGGAATAACTCACCCTTAAATTCTCTCCCTTAAAAAAGTATAATAACTAGCTCTGAGCTCGTTTTTCCCTATTTGGGAGCAGGGGAGAGTGCTTAACGTCAAGAATTAGAACCGGTTGTAGGTCTATTGTGGTCGAACAATGACACGGAAAGCTGGGAGGCCTGAGTTGAAAGAGAAGCTAAGTGGTTTTGGAGAACTGCTTGTAAGCCACCCAGAGCCGTGTGGCAGCGAGGCGGGTGGCAAATCAATTTAATGAGTAAATAAAAGTAAAACGTAGGCCCAGCAGGACTCTTTGAAGGATCCAGATGGCTTTCAGTGTTTATGGCTCCCCCAGGCGTTGAAGGGCATCGGGCTGGGATGAAGCTGGTTGGATTGGAACAGACATTGTTTCTTCAAGAGTACCAGGATGTGTGTGACTCAACAATCTTTGTTTTTATTTTGGCTAACAATCTCTCTTGTCGTCTCCTCTCCGGCTTTCGATTCTGGTGGCGTTAATTGTCCTTCTCCTGTCACTGCTTCCCCCCCCCTCCCTCTAGTACCTGCTACCACCGGATCGGGGGTGGGATCCGGTGAGGCTCTCTTCTCGGTTGTCTGGAATAACCTGGAATTTCCCCTGCCCCTGGATGTTCCCATTTTCAACCTGAGCAGGAAAAAAGCCGGTCCCCTCTGCAACTGTTTTTACCCCCTCGGTTTTTCTGCCTGAATATCCTACACTTTTCCAGAAGTTTCAATGCTCTGCGTTCGGGATCTAGCAGGTTTTAAATAGGTTTCATATATAAATAATTCCCGAGTCAGGGGAAAAAAAACCCAAACCCCTAGAGTTCTTTTGATAAGTTTACTCGCTCCCGTGTCGCAGGTGAAAGTCGCCGAGGAACTGGCCGCAGCTACGGCCCAGATCTCCCGCCTTCAGCTGGAGCTGACCAGCCATCAGAAGGAAGAGATGGAGCTGCGCTCCCAACTGAATGCGGTCCTGAAGGAAGCCGAAAGACAGGCTGCCCAGCTTAACCAGTTGCAGGCCCAGCTGGCAGGTAAGGGGAGGGGAGGAAGAGGCTGAAGTAGGAGACAGGTCTCTAAAGTAAAGTAGAGCACCTGTCTCAGATAGGTGAGGACCTCCTTGGATGGGCGCGTCGGTGTCCTCCACCTTCTGCAGAAGATAGAACCAACCCAGCCTTTAGATCAGGGGTAGTCAACCTTGGCTCTTTGATGACTCGTGGACTTCAACTCCCAGAATTCCTGAGCCAGCTAAGCTGGCTCAGGAATTCTGGGAATTGAAGTCCACGAGTCATCAAAGAGCCATGGTTGACTACCCCTGCTTTAGATCAACCCGACCTTTCTTCCTTGCAACCCCCCCAAACATCCTTTAGACCTCACTCTGAGGTGCCTCAGAGCTGTGTTTGCTGCCACCTCCGTGCTTTGTTCCCCTCACCTCAACTCTTGTAGAGCTTCGGGAATCATCCGAAGAGGCCAAGAACAAATTCCAGGCGGAGAAGCAGAGCCGGAAGCAGCTGGACGGGAAGGTGGCTGCTCTGGAGGAAGAGCTGGCTGACCTCCGGGCGGAGAAGGAGAATCTAGAGAAAGTGAGGACCCCTGAAAGGTCTAGAATCCTCATCGGGATTCTAGATGGTGCCCATGAGACACATTCCGGTTGGTAGGGACGTGTTTGCAGGGGGAGAATTTGAAGGAACAGGCCGTCCCCTTGTCCTCCCGTCTTGCCCAGCCCGTCTCCCTCAACCTAACATCTCAGTGTCCCGCGTCTTCTTCCTCTCCTTCAGAATCTTTCCGAAAGGAAGAAAAAATCGCTGCTTGAGAGAAAACAAGCCGAAGAAGAGGCAGATGAGATCCGCAGATCTTACCAGGAAGAGCTGGACCAACTCCGGCAGCTTCTGAAAAAGTCCCGGGCGTCCACCAATAACGTTGCTTCGGAGCAGGTGAGAGGCAGACGTGAACTTGCCCCCACGTTCCGCTGGGCGACAGATCTTGGAAACAGAAGCTTTAAGGAAATGCTACAGTATTGAGAGGCGTTCTTCCTCTTAGGATCTGTAGCCTTTTGCTTCCGAGAAATTCTGGCTTCTGTGGAATCCTCGGTGGTCCCTGAACTTTGCTTGCAGACGTTTTACGACCCAACTAGGTAGCACCATCAGTACGGGGGAGTGTGGCGTCTGTCCCCTGTTTATATATCATAGCTTGCTCTTCCAATGTGGCTTGTTTCCTTGAATAGGGTTTCGTTTTCTCCTTGATTGCTTGCTTAGACGTTCCTTGACTAGGATATTGCTTTCAGCTTGTGATTTGTCTGGTGTCAATCCCGGCTTATCTGGGTGGTGTTGGCTGCTAAAGATTTCCAGTTCTTGTTCATTTTTTTTCAAAAAGCTGCTCTCTGCAGCTCAGTGGGCCAATGTCGCCCTTCGCCCCCGATCTCATCCACAGGGCTGGGGAAAGTCCCCTAACCCTAACCACTCAGCCTCCTTTGTCGAGGCATCTTATTGCAAGGCACCAAGTCACCGCCTTGAATGGCATTTTTGGAGCAGGAAGGCCAGGAAATCGGTGTGCTAGCATGGAAGTCAATCCATCTATTATCCCGGGGAAGCTTTCCCTTCTGCAGACCGAGCTGGAGTCCCAGTGGGAAGCCAAATGCGAGCGCCTGCTGAGCTCAGCCAAGGAGCAGCACGCCCGCCAGCTCCAGGAAGTGTGCGAGCAACGGGATGCCCAGCAGCAGATGGTCTCCCAGCTGGAGGAGAAGGTAGGTGGTCGTAAGGGAAGGAGAAGGCAAGAGCCCGCTTGGGGGGTGGAGTCAAGAAAGGAATCAGCCTGGAATCCTGTTAACCTGGTTTCCTGCTTCCTAGATTTCTCTGCTCAAGGCCAGCAGGAGCTCAGAGGACCCCAAATCCACAGAGCTGCAGGATCGAGTGGAAGAACTAGAGGCCGTGAAAGGCAAGGTGAGACTCACCCCTTTCCTAGGCACAGACATATTCAGCGTTATTCAAAACCTTTTTCTTTTGTGCTTTAACTTTGGAAAGAAAATAAAAAATGTGTACTTTTTAAAAGAAGAAGAAGAAGAAAATCTGTGATGGAGGCAGGTCTCCCATCACACCGACATATTTTTTTGTTTGTCTAAACCCCACGCCAGTGTGGAGCCTTGAAGTCCCAACTGGCAGACCTCACCGCCCATTATGAAGACCGGATCCAAGGGCTGAAGACGGTCATCAGTAGGACCCCACAGACAGCTTCAGCCGAAGAGGTACATCTGCCCCTCCAGGGAGACTTCTTATTAAATAGGGTCTTTTTTTAAAAAAGGTCTACATTATGGAAGGGAGTGGAGAATCGGTACGTCAGTAGGAATTCCAACCTCCTGTTTAGTCAGCAAGTGGTCCATAGGAGGAAGGCCTGCTGCCCAATCAGCAAAAAATGTAAATTAAAATCTCAGACAAACCCCTCCGTAGTTCACAGGAGGCTAAGTGGGGAAGGGACAGCCCATTCAGACCTGCAGGGTTCTATTAATACAGCTTTAAAATAAAATAAAAAAATAATAAAAGGTCGGATCGGCCTTGAAGGACAGACCATAGGGCCGTGCAGAATTATTTCTATTTCACCTAATTTCCAGAAGGGAGCTGAATGGAAATTAATAGCGGTGAAATTCCCCGGTCCTGTGAGGGGCGCCTCCTCCCTTTTGTAAGTGTGTTTGGTGGCTGGCCACACAACAGCCTTCTCAGTGGAGAATTTCACAACTGAGCAATCTTAGCCCTTCTGCAAGATAAGCCCTTTGGATGAACGGGTGGCAGAAGAAAAGGATCTAGAATAGGAATTAGCGGTAATTGGTTCCAGGATCTCGCCACGGCACCAGTGATGTTTCTTTTCTTTTTGGTTGATCGGAATGATTAGCGTTGACTTTGCCCATGCTCTTTTTCTTGAATAAAGAACTGGGTTGCCCCAAAAGGGGCCAGGAACTTGCTCAGTTGGCTGGTGTGTGTTTGTGTGTGTGTGTATGTGTGTGTGTGTGTCTTTCCTGGAGGCTTTCTTCAGTACACCTCTGGATCCTCTTCCATTTCCAGGTGAAAAAGATCATGAACGGTGTCTTCCAGTCCCTCCGCGGCCAATTTGAGTTGGAAGAGTCCTACCCTGGAAGGACCGTCCTGGGGGTGGTCATGAACACTATCAAGGTACCCCTCAGGTCAAGGGGACGTTGACCTCCTTGGTTTCATAATCATCCAGCTGATCTTCTCCTTTTTCCTCTCCTACCTGTCTCATTCTGCAGTTTTCTAATTCAGGAGAGGTTGAGGCTAACCTTCTCCATCCTTTCTTCCCCGTTGCCAGACCATCACTCTGCAGCTGCTGGAAGGGTCTGAAGAGCATAGCCAGGAAGAGCAGGGACCACCGCAGAGAGGAGGTCCCGTGGCCGTGGACCGAGATCAGCCAAGCGGTCCTAATGAGGTACCAGCCATGGCCTCTCCCGTTCCTTCAGACCACCTAGAAGAAGACCCAAACAGGTCTACTCCCGCTTCAGAAGGAAGTCAAAGCGAGCAGGAAGAGGAGACACGGCATTCGGGCACAGCTGCTGAGTTGACCCTTGCATCCTTGGATCCAGTCACAGAACCTCCAGAGGTGGAGCCTAAGGAGGTGGTTGTGTCTGGACCGACAGAAGCCCAAGCTGGTGGTGCTTTAGAGAAGACACCTGCAGATCTTGCTCCCTTGAAGCCAACTGTTGAGGAGGCTGTGCCCACACTGGACCCGGAAAGAGAAGAGGACCCTTGCCCAGACGTTCCTAACCAGGACCTGACCTCCTTGAGCCTTCCATCTGGTGCAACAGATGAGAAAGTCCAAGCTGGGGAGATGCCACCAGCAGCCTCCCTCCCTCCCAAAGTGGATTCCAGGTCAGTGCTTCAGGAGTCAGGAGCTCCACGTTCTCAGCTAGGCTCTCATATCATCCCAGCTCAGCTGGTCTGTAGGAGGCACCCTGAGATCTGCAAAATTGAGGCTGGAGGAGGCAACGTTGGGTGGCTCTGAAAAGCGAGAGCGCCTTGATCCCTTGTAGGAATCTGGCACCATCAGCACCGGATCTCTTCAGCTTGGGAAGTTGAGCGGCCTTAACTCTTCCAATGAAGGTCTCTCGTGCGCAGACGTTGCATATTTTGCTCCGCCAGGGCTTAGCATATATTGCATGAGTTTGTTTGAGCAAACGTAGCACAGTATGGACAGCAGTGGGATAGACTTACCATTTTGGGGGATGTAGATGCTGCGATGAGGAAGGCGAGGCAGGGCAGGACATCCTGGCTTATATATTTTTTCCTATGGGAAGAGAGTTAGGGCTTGGCTTTGCTCTTCAAACTAAACAAGCCTCTTTTAAGGGTTTTCTACAAGGGATGCCGGGATGCCAGCAGTGTTCAGTCCTAATTACAGACGGCTCAACTCCGTTCTTTGACTCGTTTCCTGCAGCACCCCCGAGGATAAAGCCAGTTTGTCGAAAGCAACCAACTGTAAGCTGCCTTCAACAGGAGGTCCGTTGGAAGAGGAAGAGGACGACGAAGAACTGGTGAGGCCTGGGGTGGGAGGGGCTGCATGATTGTGTATTCCCTCTTCCCCCCCAAAAAAAACTCCCTATTGGGACTCTTGATCTTGCAATTTGGGGTGCCAGTTAGGATTTCGTATCTAGTTGGTTTGAAGGAACTCAATCATGGTTTCTTCCCAGAAGGTAGACTGTGCTGATCTTAAGAGAGATCATACCAGATAGGAAAAATGGTTCAGGCAGGCTTGAGGGGTGCTTTCTCAAGTCTGCCTGAGTGTGAAAAAGAAACTGGGGGAGCAGAGGAAGGCAGAGAACCAAGACAGACCCTTTTTATCTCCTGCTAAACTCCCCGACCCTCTGTTCAAAAAGTCTAAAAGAGGTTTTTAAATGCAAAAAAAAAAAAAAAAAGGAAACTGGGAGCCTTGTTTCCTTGTGTCCTAAGAAATCTGTTTCTTATCAGGCACTAATAAAGATCATCCTCAACTTACGACCACAGTTGAGCCCAAAATTTCGGTCGCTAAGTTGTTAAGTGAGTTTTGCCCCGTTTTTACAACCTTCCTTGCCACAGTTAAGTTAAGCGAATCGCTGCAGTAACAAAAGTTGTAAAATGAATCTGGCTTTCCCCGCTGACTTCCTGACGGGACCCTGCAACCGTCACAAGTACATGCCAGTTGCCCAGCGTCCAGATTTTGATCACGCGACCGTGGAGATGCTGCAGTGGCCGTCGATGTGAAAAACGGTCACGAGTTTAGTTTTTTTCAGTGCCGTTGTAACTTTGAACTGTCACCGGACGGTTTGAAGCCGAGGACTATCCGTACCCCGGTCCTTTTGGGTTGTGGTCCACTCTGGGAAGGGTTCCAACCTCACCCTTGTCTTCCTCCGTCCTCCAGAGCTTTAAGGGGCGTCCTCCCCCCACCCCGCTCTTCGGAGACGACGAAGAGGACAGCGACCTGGATTGGCTGGGATGAGCAAGCAGGCGAAAAAAGCCGGAAGACGACTTGCGATGGGGATATTTTCTGCTTTCTTGTTTTGCACAGAGGGGGCCTGGAGAACTGGCTGGCACTCAGGTAGCCAGCCCCCTGCGAGATCCTGGGATTGTCACTTGGGGTGGGGTGGTGGAAGGGCTTGACTACCAGCAGTTTCTCCCCCTGCACTGAAGCAAAGAGCAAGTCCTGACCTCTGAAATCCAGGCTCCTGCTTTTTGCGAGCGAGATCTTCACCGAGGTGGAGAAGAGGTGGGAGCTGAAGTGGTCTCCCTGCCGTTCCGGATTCCTTCTGTGATTTTTGTACCCCCAGATTTTTTTCCTCCTGTCCACCCCACCTCCCCACCAGGTGCTTTCCAGCGTTCCCTGCCTCCTGATCTATCCTTCCTCCGCGCATCGAGCAGAACAACTGGAGGGTTTTAAGTTGCTAGCAAGGAGCTTTTTTTCCCACAAGACCAGGCAGAAGGAGATCAGTTGTTGGCCGTTTCCAGCATTCCTGGGTCACTTTCAAACTTTTCGTTTTTTTCGTGAGGCTCCACCCGGCATTGCGCTGCAGCACGGAGAGCCTTGAAAACGGCTCAAGGACCGAGAGGCAGTTTTAGCCACGGAGGAATGAATAGATCCAGGCTTTTTATTCAACTTGGGGGGCGATAGCTCATCGTGTTTCTTCTCCTTCTAATAACTCTCCTGCCTTATCGGTGAGATGCTTTTTCGGGCCTCTCCAGCTCAAGACAGCAACTGTAGAAGCGGCCCCGTCACCTCTATGCAATGTCTCCCCACTTCACAAAGCCTTTGGGGCTGGGGTTATTTCTTGGAAGTCTTTTCTTGGGGAGGGGGGTGTTTCAGTTTCGTCCCCCTTTTTAGAGCAAAGGGCAGCCGGGGAGAGAAACGTTTGTCATATTCACAACGAAAGGGGTATTCATCCTTTCTAACTCTGTTGGGGGGGTGTCAGTCGCCCCCTAGAAGCAGAGAAAATATTCTGCATTTAGGGGGGTGTCTGCTCCTTTCCTAATAGGCTCAAGATGTGTGGAATCTGTGTGGAAGGCAAACCAGATGAACGGAGCTTTCAGTCTAAGCGATAGCCGAGTCTCGTTTTAGAAGAAGTGATGGGAAATTTCTCTAAAAGGTCACCGTTTCTAATAAACACAACCCGTACCAGGAAACACCAATGGAGCTAGTTTTGGGGCATGAATTCCCCCCCTAAAAAAATTCCATTTTCTTTGCCCCTCCATCCTCCCCCAAGATCTTCATCTTTGTGCGGTGTCTTCTTGTCGTCTTTACAACTTTGCCAACGTCGGTTCGGGATTTTTCTCTTTGGATGCAGAACGTAGCACTAACTCGGCTGGGCCTTCTGTTGGGACAACATTTGCCAATCTTGTGTCTTTCTTTTTTTTGGGGTGGTGGTGGTGGAGAGGGGAGGAACCACAAATAAAAGTGCAATTAAAGGAAATGAAATTGCCGCTCATCCTGACTCTTTCTTTTAAGAGACGATGGGTGGATATGGTTGCGCCCCGTAATCACACTTAAATGCTTTGTGTGGAGTTTCCAAAGTCCAGTGTCTGCAAGGATTCACAATAGGGGTTGGGGCTGCGTTTAGCCTGGGGGTGGGGCTGGCTGGGGGCATCTGGGCAGAGAATTTTAAAACGGGGGTATATGTGTGTGCATTTTTTTGTGTGTGTTTTGTTTTAATTCTGCTATGATTCTTCTCAGTTTTGGTAGGTTTACTATTTCAGAAAAGGGGGAACTTTGCTCCTGGTCTTAAAGATGATCAAGTCATGAAGGCGTTGTGCTAGAAACTGGGAAACTGTGAGTTCTAGTCCCGCTTTAGATATGAAAGCCAGCTGGGTGACTTTGGGCCAATCACCAGGAGATGGTGAGTTCTAGTTCTGCCTTACACGTGAAAAGCCAGCTAGGTGACTTTGGGCCAGTCGGGGGGACAGAGAATTCTAGTCTGCTTTAAAGCTGGCTGGGTGACTTTGGGCCAATTGCCAGGAGATTGAGAGTTCTATTCCTGCCTTGGGCATGAAAGTTGCTGGGTGACTTTGAGCCAGTCACTCTTTCTTAGCCCAACTCACCTCACAGGGCTGTTGTGGGGAAAATAGGAGGGGCATTAGGTATGTTTGCTGCCTCGTTTGTAACTAAAACGATAATAAAAGCAGGAGAAAAACCAAAGGCATAAAAACGGCATTCTGGAGGGCTACATATAGCCTTGGAGCTGTAATTTCCCCCCTTCTTCCCGCACATCCTTCCCACTTTGCATTTCTCTGCCACAGAAATGGCAGTGAATAAACAAGAGGTCGATAAAGCTCTAGCTGTTTGAGGTTCTTCAAAGAGCTAGACCTACTTAAAAAAAAAAGAACTTTTAATTGCAACTTTCAACAGTAATAGAAATTAGCAGAAATGATTACAGAATCCTTCAGCCCTAGCCCAAGAAATGTGGCATTAGTGGTCCTCAGTGGCTGTGATGGCTGAAGATGAAAGTAGTCGTGGCATTATTGGAAATCATCCGTCCATCCATCCATCCATCCATCCATCCATCCATCCATCCATCCATCCATCCATCTATCTATCTATCTATCTATCTATCTATCTACCTATCTATCATCTATCTATCTATCTACCTATCTACCCACCCACCCATCCATCCATCCATCGTATAGTCTATTGAAACAAGAGCCTTCTAGCTGATGTTAACCCACACCCTCCAGCATCCTTCATCCCTGGTCATGCTTGGCAGGGACTCCTGAGAATTGTAGACCACCATCATTTGAAACAGCTGTCCCTTCTGCCTGCCATGGAGAAAATTGTGCAAATTCCCAACAGCGGCCAGAAAGAGGACAATAGGGGCGACCTCATCACTGCTGGATCAGAAAGTCCTGATGGTCAAGCAGGAGGAGAAGTTAAATCTAGGAGCAAGCTATGGGTCCTTGATTTGTGGCAGCAGCTACGTTTGGCCCATAGAACCTTCTGGCTGAGATCAGACTGAGATGCCTCTGCTCCTGGTGGTCCTGTTTCTCGTAGGAGAACTTCATCGTTCCTCAAGGCCTTCTTCAGGTTCGATGGCGCCTCTAGTATTCTCTGCTCAAGAAAAGACTAGCGTGAAGAAGATGGAGACGACAAGAAGGATCAGAGTCACCGCAAAGCAAATGCGCAGGTTCTCCACAGAGGCAGGGGCTGAGGTTGCCCTTGGAGGCATCTCTATCACCACAGCGTTTTGCATCTCCTGCAGACGGTGTCCGCTCCACATCCCGGCATGGAAGCCTGTGGAAAACACCGGAACGATGCTGCTGATGGTGAAGATGGGCGAAGGAGGACTATAGGTGTACTCCAGAGACAGGGCCAAGTTGCCAAAAGACCAGTTGGAAACCCTGGTGGAATCTTTGTCGTCTTCCAAATCATCTTCAGAGGTGGCTTGGGACACCTGTGTTCCCAGTAGTCCTATCTCCCGTAGGAGAGCTTCATTGTTCTTCAAGGCCTGGAGGCCACCTTGGGGCACGAGGGTCACCATCCGGCAGAAAGGGCAGACCACGAAGGAGACCATTCTGCTCCGGCAAACCAGTTTCCTGAGACAGGCCAGGCAGACGGTGTGGGAACACCAGAGAAGCTTTGGCACCCGCTTGGTGGCAACCTCTTGGTAGGACTCGTAGCAGATGTTGCATTCCTTTCCACAGCCATCCGCAGAGGACAGGAGGGCCATGTCTTCTTCGGGAGTTGAGATCAAACTGTAGGAAACTTGGGTTTCTCCTAGAGCCCCCAACTCAAGACAGTTCCTTTCTGAAGATCCTCGCTGGCCACCTCCGTAGCTTGTTTTGGCTATCTGGCTTCTGAGTGTTCAGAACCCAGAACGACGTCCACCAGGAGAGAAAGACGTTGCTTCAAGCTACTCTTTGAAGCACTCATTCAACCTGCCTTGACCGCTCCCAAGTCCGAGATGACAGGACACAGTAACTCTTCTGGATAATCAGCTGAATGTGGGTTGAGATTTCCAGTCAACAAAGGGGCTGGGCACCACCGCCCAGCAAATAAAAGCCGGCCTCCACACTCACACCTCCTCTGAACTTTAATCCTTAATCAATGACTTGTTAACTCAACGTTTGTGGGAGTTGACTGCACCAAAGGCCGAAAATAGCCTCCCCCCCCCAAATAAAAAGCTATTCCTAGAGCTATTCCAGTATTGCAGTTAATTAAGGACTTCCTCATTCGTAGTTCTTCGTCCTGTAGACCCGACATCCCTGCTTTCTTTTGAGCAGTCTCCAAAGTACAGTAGTTCTTGACATAACAATGGTTGGTTTAGGGACCGAAATTACAGCACTGAGGAAAGTGACCAAGGACCATTTTTCGTACTTACTCCCTTTGCCGCGTTCCCCATGGCCACGGGATCAAAATACGGATGCTTGGTCTCCCCCCATTTCAGAAGCTAGAAATTTGGGCACACTTAAGGAGGGGCTCAGAAATCTCCATTCCCACCTTCTCCTTCCTCCCCGTCAAGAATGTAAACACGCTTGTAGGTCAACACAAGCTCTCATTCGGCTATGGTCAAGGATGCTGAACAAGGACCTTCCTATTCATCGGGACATCACAAGACTGAAATCCCGTAAGCCAGCATGGAAAACAGCCATCTACTTAACTTCTAGCCAGTTTAACCTCCAGAATGCCTGGACAGAGGCAGAGTCCAAGGTTCCTGACCATTAGTGATCCCTCTACCAAACCAGCTAGTTTTGACCTGCCTCGGTCCGTCTGGTCGAAACTGGACAGAATTAGCTGTGATACTGGAAGAAATGACTCTGCCCTTTATTGGTGGGGATGGAAAGATTCCCCTCGTTGTGATTGTGGTGCCGACACGCCAACTATTGTGCAAGGTGGCCCCACGATGGACGTTCTCTGGTTCCTCAGAAGATCCGCACGAAGCAAGACCACAGGCGATGATGGCCTGGAGAGTTGAACTGGACATCCAGTTATGAGGCCACTGCCATACCCCGGCAAATGTTTTGTATATAATTATGTGGACTGTGTCCATTTGTTCTCTTCTGTCATGTTCTGATCATATGTCCAATAATAATGATAATAATAATAAAAGGTCAACACTGCATCCATTTTTTTCCTAGCTGGCTGGGCTCAAGTTGTTTAGATGCTGCCAAGTCATCAGATGCATCTTTAATCTAGCGTTAAAAGGGATTTGTCGCCTTCCCAACAACTCAATCATTGGTTGGGCCAGAGGGAGTATGCCTTAGGATGTCAATTCTCCAGTCTTATTTGGGTTCAGCCAGGTGTCACTTTCCAGTGGGCTGAAAGTCCACAGCGTAGGAGAGTTGTTCTCACCGTGTGCCCTGCCCCATGTTTTCAGGAAAAGGGCCGTTTTAGAAAACGCAAAGCTTTTTTTTAAAAAAATATTTCTTTCTGTGCCCTCAAAAGAATCTTTCACCTGCCCTTGGAAGATCTACCAAGATCTACCAAGGATAATGGAACAGGTTTTTGGGAGTCCTGCTCTGAACTTAAAAGGGTTTGAGAAGCAACCATCTCTGATAGAATGAAGGACATCACAAGTCGAAGCTCTTGGAAGTTTATTTCTCGGCCGAGTACATAGAAGACATTACATGGCAAACAGATCAATGTAGGCACCAGACAGACATGCAGGAGGTACGGCGGGCAGTTCTTGAGGCTCTTTTGAAAGAATCACAGCTGTGTGATGGGTTCTGATGTTCCTTTCCTCCCCACCTTTCACGGCTTTCCACACAGAAACCCAGGGTGGAGCAGGCTCCCCTGGAGTTCTTGGCTTCTGTCTGGAACAACGAGGGCTGGAGATTCTCCATGGGTTGTGATAAGTGGGACATATGGATCATCAGAACCTCAACATAACAGGCTTGCAGCCAAGAACACATGTGGTCTTGACTTGGAGGGAGAACCCAACCTTGGCTATTTTTTCAGACCTGTGGACTTCAGCTCCCAGAATTCCAGGAGTTGGAAGTCCACGGATCTTAAATTTGCCAAGGTTGGACACCCTTGCTCCACAAGCACTTTTTTTCCCCCCTTCCCACATCCCAACTCCATCATCCTCAAGGCTAAAGATTCGAAACCGTAGGCCCAGCTGCCAGTTGTGCCTAGGCTCTCCCAGCTGGGTGCAGGCCCAGAGAGATGGGGAGAGGTTGGGCAGAGAACACTTCCCCCCCACACACACGCCAAAGGCGTTGAATCCCTGCTTTTCCAAGCGTCCCAGAAGGAAGGCAAGTGGTTCAGTCCAAAGAAAAGTGCAGATTTTTCAGGAGGCGGCAGGTAGAGAATGAAGCTTCCAGTCCTCAAGGGATCCTGAACGTTGGGAGTTGTTCCTGCCCAGCCCTCTGCCCACTTTCCTGGGATAGAACCTGCCCAGGCAGTTCAAGTCCACTGACTGACTAATTAACCAAGTTATTAACTACATGCTGTCAAGCAGAACAGCCGTCGCCCAACCGGGCACCTTCCAGTAACCCAGCCGACATTCATACCCTGAGTTC